GGTCTGCAGTTGAGCTTTGGAATGGACAGAAAGGCTTTTCCAAACACACACACACACCGTGTTTGATCTGCTTGATCTGTTTTGGTCTGCGAGGGTCTGTGTTTGGGAACACCCTCCAGGCGTGAATGCCAGAATTCCAATCCAATGTTAGTTGATTCAATGGAAACATCTATGGGTAGTAATCATTAACAACAACCCCAGCAATAGCTAGATACTGGTTTGTTGGCAAATTTCGGCATGAAGAGTATTGGATGCACAGAACCCTGCCAGGCAACATTTGGCATGTGGCGTATCAAAGAGTCACAAACAACTTCGTCCATCCCAACTGGTGCAAAGTCAATGCTTCCTAGCAACAGTATCAAAACAAACACCGCCAGAGGTGCTCACAGTTTGGGCGCTGGCTTCGCCAGTATGCTAAAAGGTACAACTATGCCACAGTGTTGGTTAACCATACGTTGATCTTGATCAACAAAATACATCAAGGCAGCGATGGCAATAATCCAATACAATAATATATCAACAAGCAAACAAGCCCAAAGCAACCCAAAATCAGCCATGACTACAACAAACCAAACAAACCGTCACTAACCAAAACAACCACAACAAAACAACACACCACACCACAACAGAACAACACGCCAAACACCACAATTTCCCACCACTGGACCACGCCACCCGACACCACTGCCCCGGCCTGGAAGCGCACGCAGTCCTCGGTGCCCGCGCCCAAGTACTGGGCCGACTTGCCTTGGCGCGCCAGCCGGCCGAAACCGGTAGCAAGAGAAGTGATGATGACGATGACGATGACGATGACGATGACGATGATGATGACGCTTTCGGTAGCACTAGCAGTAGCAGTAGCAGCGGTAGCAGCGGTAGCAGCGGTAGCACAATGCGACCGCGTTCTTTTTCTAGACCAAGGGCTCCATGCCAAAAAGCTTCTCCGAGTCGCAGCTGTGCTCCCACACCGGATGCATGTGCTGGCCCCAGGCCGACTTCGTGCGCCCGATGTTCTGCACGCTCCCGTCCGTGGAGTGCCAATCCACCTGTCGGCTCGTTGGCTTTGCCGCGAACAATGTGGCTGGGGCTCGTGGTTTTTTGAGGCTCGGTACCTTTTTTGGGTTGTACAAAATTACAAAAGGACATCAAAACGACGAAACTCATTTGATTGCCCAATTGGACGGGGCTCGCAAAATGGTTTGCCCCCTTTTGGCTTCTCTTTAAAAAAAAAAACAAACAAACATGGTGTTCTTCCATTTGGCTTCTTCTATTAGCAACCAAAACAAGGTTCATTGTTTGGAGACACGCGCATTTGGGTGGCCCAAAGGGTGCCCATATCAAGTCCATGTGGTTGAAGCTAAGTTTGCAGAGAAAGTGTCAAGTAAAAATGCCCAAATCCAGGCAGGAATCAAAAGCCCTTCTTGACTCGTCCAACTCAAACCTTTTTTCAGGCACGTCTCAAATTTGGGGGAACCCTGTTTTTGGTTCAGCAGCTGTGAACAAGGACTATTTACATACACCCTCCAAGTATCCTACACACACCCTGCATACATCCTGCAAATAATTTACAAACACCGCGCACATCCTGACAAACACCCAAACACAAACACCCACAACAAGCCGTGATTAGAGTTTGGCCCAGTGATAGAATGTATATGTTATTAATCACTTTGAGTCACTGGTACAATGGAAATGTATCCTAAGTCCACCCCAGAAGTCAACCGAACTTGCGTAATGGTCCAAGTGCTCCGTGTCAGCGGCATTCTTTCGCCTGGCAGAAGGGGTCCATGCGCCCGAACTTGTCGAAGCTTCGGAAGAGCTCAGCGGAGACCACCCGCACCACCAGGGAGGCCGTGCCTGGCTTCGGCTGAATTTGGCTTCGTGTAAAAGGCCCTTTGTCCCAACAGAAAATCGGGAGGTGAAGTGGGTGTCTTAGAATAAGGGGACCTCAAAATGAAAGGATTCCCTTAAGCAGTTTCCATTTCATTACAACCACCCCCAAAGGGTCCCCTGAAAAAAGACTAAACACAGGGGTGTCTTCCGTCTGTTTGGGCTCTTGAACATGTGCCCAGTTTCCATTTGTGCGGGGTTGTCGAACATAGTGGACCCTTTGCGAGTACCAAACAGTTGCTAATTTTGATAATCCCCCCAGATTTAATTCACGGAAATGGCAAGATCCGTGCGTATTCATTTGTGTTGGGTGGGGGGTTGCTGGGGTTCCCCTTTCAACCACCATTCAAATTTAATGGACCCAGTTTCAGCGGGGCAAGGGACACGGACCTGGCAATCCCCGACCCATGAAAGAGACAGGACCCCCCAAAGAGAACTGACACAAACCAAGTTCTTTTCTTCTTTGGGTTGGTGAGGTGGGGGGTGCTGTCTTCTGTTGTCGTTTGCGCAGCACACCAATTACCATGAAGAGGTGCACAAAGTACGGAAATTAGAAGGTCACACAGGGTGCTGGTGAACACAAGTTGCTGGCTTTTCACCAACTGTAAAAAAACAACAACGAAATCCGAAAGATTTGTCAAACCACTGCCCGCGACCAGCGCAGTAAGCAAAACAGTGAAGCTAGGGACAAACCCCTAACTTGGTCCCCTGAAACGGTCCCAAATATGACTGTTCGAAAAGATCAGCAAAGTCTGGTCATCTTTACAGTAAGTAAAAGGAGTAACATACATCATACACAAACTCTTCTCCCAGAATCATGCCTAAGCATGTGTTTTTTCGACGTACCCCACAACCCTGTTTCTATCTATCTAGGCCCTTGCACTAATGTATTTGTGGCACCAAGGCGAGCTCCGGCCTTTGAGCTGCGGGCAGTTTACTCTCCTTCCCACCAGCTCCACCTTCTGCGCGCAGTCCGCCGCCTGAGCCGACGGACGTTGAAACTTGCGCTCACAGCGACATCTCCGCCTGGACCCTCCGCGACAGTTTACAAACGGGCGAAAAGGCAGCGGTTCTAGCCACGTTGGAAGTGTGCTGTTTCAACTGTTAACTACATCCCTTCAGATCTTCCAAACCTTGCAGGGGCATCCGAATACGAGCCGCATGGGGGCCATCCGGCCCCTTGCAGTGGGTGCAGCAGGTTTTGTACGCCGCGAAGGCCGGGCGCTGGCACCCCGAGCTGCAGCTGCGCTCGCCTGGCGAACGCCGCGAACCCCCGCGCAAGTGGAGAAGTGGGCGTGACAAAAACCAGGGATCCGTATACATTATACACCTGAACATTGCCTTGTAAATGGTGGTCTCCCTTTATTTTGGCGGAAAAAGCCATGTTTCAAACGGGCAAAATGTATCTTTTAAGGAGCCCTGAAAAATGGGCTTGGAACGCCTGGAATGGGAAGACCCGAAATAACAGTGGAGCACACCTGAAAAGCGGGGCTCCTTGTGTGGTTTCCCTTTAACAAACACACACACACACACACACACACACACACACACACACACACACACACACACACACACACGCGCAACTGGGTGACCCTCAATGAGGGGGCCCAAATGGGGGGGGAAATGGGGAAGAGTGACAAGATCGAGCAGCAAAAATTGCTTAATATGACGAACACCACCATATGTTCTAGTTTCTATGTGTCGGTTTGCTTCAGTGTTTTTTTTGTGTTTGATTCTTCTTTTTGTTTTTTTTGGGCCGGGGGGGGGGGGGGCTTGTAAAAGGGGACAAAACGAAAATACAGTTGAGGAACCGGGGAACCAAAGCCCAAGAACTCTCCTTGGAATGCTGTATCACCCATACCCTGTCTCACCCCAAAAGCAAATAAAAGGGCGACTGCCCCTATTTATGGCTGGGACTGTCCCCCCCTACCAGCCTTCATTAACTCGGGTTTTGATTGTGGCTCAATTGTGTTCTATGGTCCTCTGCGAATTTCGACCAGAAGTGGTGTGGGTTTCCAGCCCATTGGATGGCGTTGTTTCGAATAAGGAAAGCAATCATGTTGGCTCCCACCGAGATATCCTGTTTGGGTTTCCCTTTGAACCTATTCAGAGACATAGCCAGCCCATCCAGCGATTTCCAAACGGCGGCGGGGCTAACGACACCTTGGGAGGCACGCACTGCACATTAAGTTCGGATACATCCAAACACCCACTCTTTCAAACGAACCAAAGGGACCCCCAAACAAATCCATAATCAATTCACGTTTCTCGAAGCTCCAAGCTTCCGACAATCAAACTTGCACCCCGAGAGGATGGGAGTCCTCTTTGCCTAACGTGGTTGGCTTCCTCTACGTTCCTCTCGAGTTCCTTGCTTGGAAATATAGGAGGCCCCCAAATATCTACATTTGCTTTGGCTAACCTAACCTGAAACTAAGACACCGAACAGGGACTTTTTTCATGGGCCTTCCTTGGTTTAGAGCATGTTTGAGTGGCTATAGCACCCGACTGCCATCATCCACACTGTCTGGACACAACCTTACACCGTACTCCCGCAACAACAAGTCGGCTCTCCCCTTCGTCGGCATTTGGAGATGGGGCACGGGGAATGCCACAACCTGGGCCTTTGATGCCCATCAATCCGGCCAACCCGCCCGGCCTCCAGGCCCCGTTCGCCCCGGGGGGGCAAAGTGCATGGCGAGGCCAAACAAAAGCTGGGAGCGGCGATGAGCAAAACATCCCTCAGCGAACCTGGTTGTGGGCTGCAAACTTGAAGGGGCCTTTTTGTGTTCGCTGGTGCCAAATGTCCCGGTCCCCACCTGCGGTGCTGCTTGGCGCGGTGTTGCGTTGGGGCTTCAAGTTTGATATGCAATTATAAAGCCAAAGCTGCGCGGATCCCGGTGCACAAAGTCTGCCACCTGGGGTCCAACCGCGGTGACCCAACCCAACACACGTTTCGGATCTCCTTGCAGCCTTAGGGGATCCCACTGAGGTCTTCTACAAAGGAAGGGGGAGGAATCCCTTGAAAGCTTGCCTTGGTAGGTGAATTTCCACATCTGCGCCCAAGCTCCACATTCCACCAACCCCCACGTGCTCAATTCACGTTATCAGGCCTGTGCTGAAGGAACGGGCCTCAGTACCAGGTCAAGGAACAGCACAAAAGTGCTATACAAATCTTCAGCTGAACCACTAAGAAGGCTTCCTTGTGGTGTTCCTTTCAATCCCGTTCAAAAGGGGGCGACGCATCTAAAAACAAAACCCCCAGCTTGGTTTAGCTTTGACTTCCTTTGCACTGTCTGACTGTCTGATCCGATCACCGACTCGCAAGAAACAAGTGATTGCCCTCTCTGGGACCGGCTGGGCATACCGGCAAGAGGATTTCCACACTTCAGAACAAGGCTGCACATGTTTCCAGGGCATGGATTGGTGAACTTGGGGTACGTGGGTATTTGTGACCGACCACGTTGGAGGGTGCTCCCCATTAAAACTCATATCTGTAGGAATCAGCTTCTCCAGTCCCCTTGGACGCAAGACGAAAGCTTAAGGATTGATGCTCTGGAAACTAAGGTCATAACTGCCACACACACCAAAACAAACGTGTTTGGGCATACCCCCTAGTTTGTGTCGCAGGTTTCCAATACAATAGGTGACCCGTTTCCAGGGATGGGGATAGGTTTGGCTCAAGGATTAATTCTGACTCATTCTTTAAGGGCCATGGCCCATGGCCAGGTACCTCACTCCAAAGGGCAACACCCGCTGAGTCGATCACTTCGAGCTCGCGGAGACCTTTGGGGCCTCCGCCCTCGGCCTCGCAGACTCGGCGCTGGCGGCTGGTTTTCGTTTTGTGGCGTGGAGGGTAGCCTTGCTGGGGGGGGGGAAAACAGGGGGCTTTGTGTCATATCTCAAGAGTGCGCCTCCAGATTTTATGTTTTTTTTGGGGGGGAGGGGGATGCTTGTTATGATACTCCACAAATACTTAGTGTCATGCAGTGGGCAGTACGACCATCCAATGTATCGCGAAGGAAAACGCTCAAGGACGACCTTGACTATTTTCAGGTTATGTTCGTGATAGATTCGAAATGCACAGCCACTGAATGCCGGGGAGAGGTTCTGTTTGGTGTCCCTGTAAGCAGGGGTTCTTCTGTTATTGACCTCAACACAGCCCCCAAACTGGTCTGCTTGGTCAAAAACAACGCATCCATCTGAGCACAATCCCAAATTGGTGGCTTCTTCTGGTGGACTGTGTTATGCTTAAAATTGCCAAACTCTGTCTTTACTTAAACTTAAAACAAGTAAAGGGGGGGGGGAAATCAGACCTCTTGGTCCTGGTGGGTTCCTATTTATGAGACAAGACCATATATGCCATGATAAAACCTCTGTATGTGGGTGATGGCCATGGGACATGGTCCAAACGCCGCACAGGGTTGATGACCATACCACCCCCGGGCAAACAAATGTCAAACGACCATGGGACCGTGGGGAAAGCAAGGGCACCAGGAAGCTCCAAGATGGTGGTCCGTGTCCCCAAAATGTTCAGATGCAAACAGAATCGGAACCCATTGGTTTTAAGTTGTGTCTTGGGGACACTCGACAAATGGAATTTGTTTTTGTGTTGGCTCAAACACGATTTCGGGCGTGGGCAGCCATCAGCAAAACGGCCCCATAGCTGTCATGAGTCCTGAGTAGTCCTGTGTGTACTGACCACTGTTCGCTATGGCTCCATACTGGCTGATCCCATCGATGTCCTTATGTTGACCCGAGAGGATGACTCAGAAAGCGACAGGTTGTGACTGGGCGAACAGGGCTTGATCTAATCGAACGGGGCCTGAAGTCAGTGTGTCGTGTCCGTATTTGGATGTATTTAGAGCACTCCTTTCTTGTTGAAACAATCCACATTTCAAAAGCGAAGGGAAGCATGGCAAACACCTCCTCGAATTTGCCGGCGCACCTATCCAAACCCACTCTCATGCATCTGGGGTCTAGACAGACAGCCATCCGTGGATAAGCCTAGGATACAGCCTGAAAGCCACCAGTTTAATAGGGTTTAATACGTAGGGTTTAATAGGGTCCAATAGGACTTACTAGGGCTCAATAGGGTTTTATGGGGTTTAAGATCCATCTCCTGGGTCCCCAACTCCTCGGCCACAGGCTTCCCTCCCTTGCCGGTCTTTCGCGTGGCCTCAAGAACGACCAAGAACATGCACCGAGCGATAGTGATTCATCTCTCAAGAGCATGTCTTAATCCGTGTGGATGTTTCAGTTGGGACCCTTTTTGGTTGGGAGTGTTTGTTCCCATCCTTGCGCATCTCTTTGGAGAATATGCTATGAATCGCCCAGGTTGAATCCGGGCTTCCCATAACGGCGCAAGAGCATGGAAACTGGCGCGGGTGCAACGAACAGCCATGCCTCAGCAAGCTCATACGTCACCCATAGCCTTATGCTTCCAAAGCCTATTAAAAAAATAGTCGTTGTGACAACCCAGGTCTTTTGATAAAGACTATTTTTTTGATGACGAGTGGCAGCCTCCGTTTTAGACTGGAACAGGGACTGGGAAAGACTTGACGCTAAGGCCGCCTCATAGGATCCCAAAGCCGAATATGTATTTTCATATGCAGCAATATATGTGTTACAATCTGAAAGGCTAGTTGCTTCTATTTTGCTTGGTTTCTTAACATGGCCATGTAGCGCGTGAGGGTGAATCCTCTTCTGACCGTTTCTGTCCTTCTTTTGCCCCACCTTCTTAGCCAAACCAAACAAACCGGGACAGCAAAAATCTTTACCCATCACGGCAACCATTCCAGGATGAGAATGTTGATCTTCTGGGTCCCCTGCAAAGTTTGCCCTTTCTACGCCAAAAAATAGTGGTTCTACGCCAAAAAATAGTGGTTCTACGCCAAAAAAATGTGTTTCTACCGTTTTTGGAGCTGTGTGAAAATTGGAGCGGAAAAAACAAGCACACAATTGCTTGTTGTTCGTGCCACCTGCGCAAATTGCGGAGGACAATTCTAGAATTTGCTAGAATGAAGGCTCCGTCTACGCAAGACTTTCAGCAGGTGCATTGCGCAAACACGAAAGGGCGCCGAGGACCCTATCAATAAATAGTAATCTACTGGCTCCCAAGGCTTCTTAAGAGGTTGCAATAGCAGGCGTAATTTCGATGAAAACAAAGTAAAAACCCAAAATGGACCCCAAAGGCCAATGTGAAAAAATAGGGGTTGTCAATGCAAAAAAAGGGGTTCGACAACCCCTATTAAAAAAATAGTCGAGGAAGCATAGGGATAGGGTGAGGCATCAACAAAATATATAAAGCATCAACTATATCTTAGTAGGCACAATTTTGCCGCAACGTACTGTAAAAAGACTGGAACCTGCGGCATCAACAAAACAAAACTTGTTCGGCTGCATAAACAACCTTGTCGGGCATGGCTGGGCTTGATTTGTTTAGAGTCCCTAAGCCCACCCTAAGCCAAACAACCCTAGACCAACCGGCAGCACTGAACCTGCCATGCCCGACAAGTTTGGTTTCGAAGCCTGGCATTTGGATTTTGATGGCGCGGTTTCCAGGCCTTTTACAGTGTGTGCAGCAAAAAATGGTGCCTAGGAACTATATGCTGCGAAGCTCCAAAGGTGAAGGGGTTGGGGGGGGGCCTTTCGCCTTTCTGCCTTCCGAAATTCTCTAGGCACTTTCAAGGGTCGTTGCTGTACCTCAACTAGCGTTGTAGAGCTGTAGCGCAATGGCAGCGCGCCGCACCACAGTTCCGGAGCGGAGGTTGGAGGCTCACGTCCTCCCAGCTCTATTCTTAAGGTGGAACCGTCGTGGCTAAGGTCCGGAAAAAGGGGAAGCCGACATACTTCAGGAACTACACGCATACTGGAGGTACACACGTGCACACACACACAGAGAACCACCCTCCCCCCCACCCCACCGTTTTTCCTGAGCTTTGCGCGCGGTTTTGCTCTATGAAGTCCAAGATGCCGTCCTGGCGAACGACGTTCAAAAGGGCCTAAACATTAGAATGGGCTGCGGCGTACTTTATAACCATGTGTTGCCATGATTGAAGGAGTAAAGTATTAGCAAACATATTACACATCCGAACTCAGAACCATCGAAATCATACATATGAAGGGATAACCCTGTCCCTACACGCGCCTTCGTTCGAGTTGTCTTGAACTCGCCATCGATGGGAGCGCTCTTCTTGCCCTGAGCCGGGGGACTGTGTGCCCGGTGAAAAGGGAAGTCCGTACGAATGAAAGGTTGACGAAAAAGGTGTCTTTTTCAGGGTGTCCTTTCGAGGTTGGTTTAAAGGGGGCACAAAAAGGAAAGAACAACGTTTCCTGAACCAAATCCCTTTGGACCTGTACATCGGTTGACGAAAGGGTGAGCTTTTCGGGGGAGGGGCCCTCAACAAGGAGCCTCTCGGAATGGCAAGGGTTTCATTGCGTGATACTGAGCCACGGTCAGAATTGCAAACCTTCCCCCAACAGGACATGCGAAAATTAGGGCTCATCCCCTTTCCCTTGTAAGATCTGTGGCATGTCCATGTCCCCCAAATGAACCATAAACTGGAAATTGGGACTAAACCTATGGTATAAATCACAAGAATTCTGGTGTGCAGCTCGCTGTCCTTGGCATAGAGCTTCAGGGTGGGATAGCTCTTAATCTCAGCCGACGGGTGCTTGTACCTGTGTCTCAAACCCGATTCGACTGGGTTGGATTCCGGTTCTTTCCAAAGACCCACCGCAACAAGTCCTCCATGACAAACATCCCAACAACCTTCGTCAGAAGCACGTCAGGCGCGGCTCACTTGGTGGCATCCATCTTCCTTAGACTCCGCTGCTTGGCGTGTGCCCCTCCCTCTGTAAGGGTGTGTTCTCAGATGGGTGACCCCTCCGGGACAAAGGAAGCCAAGGCAAAACTCGAGAAGCTCCGAGGGGCCAAAGGCCCCTGACTGGAGCTTCTCAACATGCACGGTGCCTCTGCCATGACTTGGGGGGATGCTCTTCGCAATTTGGATGGTCATTGCGAAGGGACAGCTGGGGACCTGACAGCACGCTGTGAGTCCTTCTACAACAAGCCTACAGGCTTTCCTCTTTGCCCCCTTGCAACACCCCCCGCACCAAAAAGGAGCTTAATCTACACATGCCCAAAAGGCAGAGTTGGTTCCCCTGTTTTGACATAACCCCCCAAACCCCCAGAAAAGTTAAGGGCGTTTCCGAAAACAAAAAAACAAAAGGCTCCACTGGGTGGACTTCTGCATGCCCAGGCTCACAATCGCCACATCCTTGTCCTGGGCGTAGTGTTGGGCCTAGCAGAAAAGTGGAGTCACCGGCTTGTCTCAGAATTGAGCACCTTTGTCTGGTCGATTTGAAAGGGAGCCACCTAAAAAAGCAAACACTGGACCCGCCGCAACCCAACAGATTGGTGGTTTCCTTTTGGTTTCCCTTGAAAGCACGCCCAAAAAAGGGTACTCTCACCAAACTGACACACCCACACCATGCCACCCCCTGCTGCTCGCTGCCTGCACAATCGCCCAACCTTTTGGAGAAAGTTGATCCCACTGCGATCCCCTTCGCGCATAACTGTCCCATCAGCACTTTGATCAAACTTGCATGACATGGGCAGGCGTATATGTGTGTGTGTCAGAAATAATCACAGTGCAGAAAACTTAAAACACAACAAACTAACAAACAAAATCACACACACACACACAAACACACAAACAATCAATCAAGAAATCACACAAAACAAACAATCAAACAAGCACGCAAACAAACAAGCAACATAAACAAACGAACAAAGTAACGAGCAAAACAAACTGACAAAGAAAACAACACAGCCACCAAGCACAGAACCATGCAAGCACGCAAACACACAAAGACGCAAAGACACACACACACACACACAGACACACACACACACACACACACACACACACACACACACACACACACACACACACACCCACCCACCCACCCACCCACGCACGCACGCACGCACGCACGCACGCACGCACGCACGCACGCACGCACGCACCGCCACCGCCCGCCACCGCCCGCCCCGCCCGCCCGCCCGCCCGCCCGCCCGCCCGCACGCACGCCCGCCGCCCGCCCGCCCGCACGCACGCACGCACGCACGCACGCACACACCCACACACTCACACTCACACTCACACTCACACTCACACTCACACAACAAAGAAACACACATGCACGTAAGCTCTGCAAAGACACAAACACAGAAAGACACAAAGCTACACAAACAATATTCCAAACCCTATCCCAAGCCCAGGCGTTTGCCGAGGTCAGGGCCACCAGCTTGTACTCCGGCGCCAACGCCTGGCTGGAGACATAGCGCTTCATCGATCCCAGGTGGGAAGCTACTGTCGGTGGGCGGAAACCATGGGAAACCATGGGGATTAGGATCACTTGCATATCATACTTCCATTGCGCCTATGGGAAATGCAGGGGAGGGCCTCTTTCTTGGGAGTACCTCCCTGTTCCTTGCAGCTTGTAGTGGGGAAATGTGAACAAGCGGACCCTGGCTTCTGTTGTTGTGCTTCGGGTTGCATTTCACATGTTCTGGAAATGACGATTCCGCACCTGTGACTCACGAGGAAGCTTCCGGATCTCAAGTCGAGACCGGATCACAAAGAACGGACCGTTCCATTGCAGAACATGTTATCCTGCAAAAATATCTTGTCTCACTGCGGCTGGACGAAATCTTGCACCACCTAAGAAACCATGGGAAGCCGCTGCTTGTTGGTATTTCCAGGGAGGAATCATCACTTTTGGGCATCTGGCTTTTTGGGATGGCTTTAATTCAAATGATGTTTAGTCACTGTTTGTGGCTCTTCATGACTGGCCTGTTGCAGGAACCGATTTCTAGTGGAATTCTGCGAACATCGTCCAGGCACGCTACATGTGGGAATTGTCTTGTGATACCATGCAAAGGCCTTACGACTGAAGCAAGGGGAATAATTTCCTGGGAACCCATTCCTCACTGCGGAAAACCCTGTATGTTCTTGATTCCCCCAACCACTTTGTTGGCACTGTAAACTGAAAAGGCAAGCTGGAGGCCAAAAAAAGTTGGACAAACCAAGGGGTCATCTCATCCCACCCCGGTACCAGACTCTGCCTTGCAGTGGCCGCACCACGGGGCATAGAATTCCACAAGCACATCCTGGAGAGCATGACTTTGAGCAGCGGTCACAGTGTATCAGTGTCTGATGCAGAACACCCGCTTTGGATGGGGATAGGGGAAACTGACGTTTTGGACATGGCCGGTTGCAAGCAGCTCCCCCACAGTCTTGCAAACTTGTGTTCCCCACAACATGAGAACATGCCCCCCCCCCCCCCCGTGTTTTGTGGTTGAAATTTGGGTCCCCCCGCCCCATTCAGCGCCAAAAGCCCATTGATTCTTGGTTCTGACATGGTTATAGAGACTTATATTAAGCCACCTAAAATGGCCCTCGCCTCAAAAGGGGTTTCGGGGCGCTCACGTCGCTGTCTCACCCTCGCAGCACCGCACCTTGTTGTTGTTGATGACGATGCTGTCGAAGGTGTCACTTGTCACTGATGTCACAGGATCCTGGAGCATTCTAAATTGTCCAGACCTCCGGCCCCAAGACTGAAATATCAGACCAAGCCATATTTGATTGACTTCCACCGCCGTTGGGCGCTTCGGGTACCCTTCGCGCTGCCTTCTCGGCGGCCAGGTCGCCCTTCTGCCAGTCCTTCACGAAGGCCTGCGAGCGAGCCATGGCCCAGTGAGCTACGAAAAGTCGGATTTTAAGTGGTCCGAACACCAAAGAGAATGCAAAGGGCTGCAAAACTATGTAACTGCCTGCTGAAACTGTCCTCTAAGAGACCCTCATCTATCCGGGTTTTGATTCGGGCTCAAACCCCATTCAGCACCCGTCTCAGGCGAAACTTTGGAAGTTTGTGAAAGGCCACCAGCATGGAACCCACCAGGATCGCCGTTGAAAGCTGTACAAGATAGACCCAAATGGACATTTCACGCAATATGAGTTGGACACCTCCAGGCCAAAGTTTCGTTTTGGCTTAAGCCGTGCAAAAAGCAACCAAGGACCTTGTCAAACCAACAAAATGGGTTTGGCTCAAAGTCGGCTCCTCCACCTGCAATCCATTGGCCCTTTCTGATTCTCTACCAGCGAAACACCTTGAAACAAAGCACGGCCATCCCCTCAATCGGAAAAGCGGGAACTTCAAAGCTTGCGTGGACTCTCTGAGCTAGACGGTCCCTGACTTAGGTATGTGGTTGATGACCATGGTCATAAACCACTTACCGTGGTTGCAAGTCCCCTAAGTCTCTAAGTGAGCTATAGGCCAATGTTACGGTTATAAGCCACTTACCATGGTTACAAGTCCCCTAAGTAGGTACCCACCGATACAGTTATTCACCACGTACCATGGTTGCAAGTCCCCCAGGCGGGTCTAACCAGCGTTACGGCTATCAACCACTTGCCATGGTTGTACGTCCCCTTTGCAGGTTACGTTGGATACAATGAGTGTCAAAACCATTTCGCTACTTCCCGGACCATTTAAGCAGGAGCCACCCGCAACTGCTCTCCTGCACCGCAGACCGCGAGGGGCTTTTCTCGGAGGACTGCTGCGACAGGCGGAAAACCTGCGGGCTAAGTGTGCACATTCATCACACCTCGTGCTGCAATGTAGAATGATAAGTGCTGTTCTTGTTCACTTCTCCAAAAACAATGCAAAACAAACGCAAGACAAGTCTGCACCAGCGACAACGAAGGTGTATCCCATATGGGCGATTCTCAACAAAGGGGACCCCCACAAATGGGCGATTTCCTTCTGTTTTTCCCTGGAAACTATTTTGAGAAGCCCTATGGTCAATGCCGATCAGACCGAAAGCGCCTTGTCGTCGTCTTCCGACTCCCCAAACTCCCAGATGGCCACCTGCGCTCCGCTTGGCCGCGGGGTGTGCACCGCGCGAGCCGCTTCGGGCTTCGGCCGGTCGCCTCCGGGAAGTCGGCTTTGGCGAGGCCGACCTTGGCCGAAGAAAGTCTTTGGGCGCCAAATCTCGGGGAAAGCATGGGGTGTTCCCTTGAGTTTAAAAACAAGTCTCAAGTCAGTGCTTTTTTGTGGGGTTGGTTCCGGGGCTTCCCTGTGCCAACTCTTGCAAACTGCGTTTCATGACCAAAAAGGCCAGTGAACGTGCAGCTACTGTTCAGTCTTTGAAGGGATCTGCTCGAAATTCACGCAGGAGCTTCTTTGGATTTGGGTGGGTACCCTCCATGCCTTTGGAAACTTCTCGGCCCCTGCGATGCCAACATGTGCTTCGAGGGCTTCTGGTTGCGTTTGGTCTCCTCCTCGAACTTGAGCCAAGCCCTCAGTGTTAAAGCGCTCAGGGCGAGCTCCTTCCAACGGGAGCTGAAAGAGGTCTACACAGATTCAGGAGGTTGGTTGTGTCTTAGTTAGAACTGATACAAAAAGCCTTCGCCATCTCAGAAGCCAGCAACCACAGAACAACTAAAAGCAAAACACAAATTTAAGCCAAGACCCTCCAGCCGCGACTCTCCGAGCGAAGCAATTCGCCGGGGCGGGGGCATTTTTGGCCAGGCTCTCTCCGAAGGAATCCGCCTTGAGGTGCACCTCGTTGCACGGTTTCAACGGCAAGAAAGCCGAGAGATACCCACTTGGACGTTCAAGCCACTCAGGTCACCCGGAGTTGGCGGTTTGGATTCGTAGTTTGGACGTTACAAAAGGTAGTGGGGTGCAAATCCCCAACCACCAATCCAAACCACCAACTGAGGGCAACCTCATGCTTACCAGGGAAATCCCTCAAACCTTACCAAGTTGAACATCCATCATGCAGGGGCCCCAAGCTTTCCCCACATCAAAGGTCGATCAACTCTTGGTGGCCCTTGCCCCTAAGCAAGACGTGTTAGTGTTGCAGATTTTCCGTGGTGTCACCCCGAGTTTTAGTTGCTGATGGGCTTCTGACAGATGAGGCGGGGGGGTGTCCAAGTTGAGACATCCGGCATGAAGCAACCATCTACAAATGGTTTCGCATTCCTACAAGACATGGGTCGCTGGAGCATTAATTTAAAAGATCCAAGCCCGCGCTGAAACCCGCCCCAATGAAGGGATGAGTATCCAAGTCAAAAGAGTGTGTGTGTGTGTGTGTATGTCTCTGTTTTTGGAGGTACCCTTTTTGAGATTGGTTTCAAGGTAAGCCAAAGGTGCCCCTAGTTTGACACCCCCCATATGAAGTACCCAAGTAAGACGACCATCGCACGGGGCCCCGGCCCACTTGAGCCTCTTCTCTTTGGAGGCCACGGCCAATTCCTAAGGCCAAGCACGCGATTTCTGCGCACGGGGGTGCTCGTTGGTGGACATTTGGCCCCAATGGAAAGGCAACACATCCAATGTTCGACCGTGGTCCTTGTGCTGAGGTTCGGAGCAACACTGTCAAGGGAATGAAACACCAACCTCCTGCATGAAGGTCTCTACCTTTAACACATGGCTGTTCCTCAAACTTAGGCATCCCTCCACGTGTGTGGTTTTCTTTGGTTGTTCGTTGAACCAATCGAAATAAGTAGGGACCCTGTCGACCCCTAACCTGTTTGTGGCGCCCATGATAGCAAAAGGTGAAATGGAGGCCAACAAACAGATTTCGGGTTAGAAAAGCAGGGCCCAAAACAAGTCTTCCTGTTTGCAGACAGACCCCGGTGGCTCTGCAGGCAGGCAGCATGCAGATCACGTCTGAGCTTATCATCTTCGCCTGAAGCGCTAAGCAAAACTTCCAAACATCTGGAGGCTCAATGGAACATGGGGAATGCGCCCAACGCCCTTGAGATCTGCACAATTGTTCATGTTGACCCCGGAGTAAGAAACCTGAGTAACGGATTAATTGGGGTTTCCCTGAAAAGTGAATGAGAAACCGGCCTATTGATCAACCGGCGGACCGGGGGAGTTCATGATTTCGGGGTCAAAACGACCAAAACTCCAAGCTGAAAGTGGGGAACCCGCCAGTACAGGACCCTCATGATGGGTGAGCTCGTTTTACCCTAGTTTTGCCCAGTTGGTATGCAATGTTCACTAAGCAACCTCCGCGGATCAATCAGCGCGGTGTCTCTTGTGACCACTGATCTGTGCGCTTGTACATCCAAAGTCGACAAAGATGCCTCAAATGGCGCAAACATCCCGCCTGCCCAAGTAATCACGACGCTTGGGGTTGACAAAATGCTGATCCTTCTGGTCCGCCCCATTGCAAGGAGGCACACAATGACACCGATGCACCAAATGATGTTTTGCTAGCCCACGTTTCTCAACAAAACATAATTTGTTTCAAGCACACACGCACACACTGCTGTAACTCCGCACCGGTACCCTGCACTCTTTTTGCAAGATGTTGCTGTTTTGTACGTATGGGTTTGCTGACGTCCCCATGGCATAGCTGGTCATTTCCCAATTCGTTCATTCCACACATGAGTTTCTACCAAAAACCATGCACAGAATCAGACACGTCGCCTATTTGTGGCTAGACCTTAACCTTCATCTACCCAGTTGATGGCTCTCATGCCCCTCCGGCACTGCATGTCCGCAGGTAAGGATGTGTGTGTGTGTGTGCTGCAGCTGCCTTCGCAGTCACATTCTGCGATCTGTTGCTTGCTGCGTCATGGGCACATGCAAGCCACAGCTCCGGGAACCCTGCCAAAGTAGAGAACTAGGCCGTTGCCCGGATCGATCTCTTGCAGAAAGAACTTCTCCTTGCAGAGAACCGATAGGCACAAGCGTTCACAACTGATCGAGGCGGTGGCGGTGGTTCCCGGAACTTGTTCCCGAAACTTTCAAGATTTATGAGTCAAAAGACAGACTTAGTCAAATTCAATCATGGCTGAAGCAGAATGCCGAAACCGGAGCAGGCACGCGCAAATGATGTCGCTCAATAAGATGGTTTCCACTTTCCAACGGGTGGCCAGGGTACATCTATCCCTTCCCAGACGTGTTTATGTAGTGTTTGATCCCATCAATTCCCTGGGTGGAAACCAGCTTAGAATCAAGCGATGCCAAGACATTCGGCGAACAGCGGGCGAGCGCCGCACCGTCTGCTCGGATCCCGGGATCAAAGCCTTGGCACTGCAGCTGACACGCTGAGTGCGAGGTGGGGCAAGAATTGGGCCCACGCCACGCTGGAAAAATACGATATTACCTTCATGGGCATGCGAACAATTGTCAGTCCCCTGGTTGTCTGGGATACGTATAGTACACCATGTTTTTTCAGGTTGACCATCGACTACCGATAGTTTTGGTAATCATATACATACATACATATGTACATACATACGTACATACATACATTACACCACATCACATTACATTACATTACATTATCTTACTTTACATTACTTTACATTGCTTTACATTGCTTTACATTACTTTACATTACTTTACATTACTTGCATTACATACAATTACGTTACATGCATTAGATTACATACATTGCATTACGCACATACATGCATTGCATTGCATTGCATTGCATTGCATTGCATTGCGTTGCATTACATTACATTACAGTACACGCAAACATGTGTTCGCATACCGGGTACTGCGAGGAAAAAAGTCCATCTGCTCTCACCCAACTATCTGCCCCGCCCCCCCCCCCCCCCGCCCCCAACTTCAATGTTGTTAAGGAACGCTGCGCTGAAGCCAGAATGGGCGTTGTTTTTTTACATCTGCAGGCTTCTTTAATAAGGATCCAACTTTGAAGTTGGGGGATCAGCACCTGTTGTCAACATGGATTTGGGGAGATGGTCGTTTTTTTGCAGCACCCGGACTCCCTGATAGGTCCGCATGGTCTTGTTTTGCAACACCGTGCTTCAAATCTGAATCGGGTGGTAAGTGAACATGGTCTTGTTTTGTAACACCGTGCTTCATATCTAAATCGGGTGATTAGGGGTGCGCAGCTACGATGTTTAGCAACATCGTCTGAACCGACAGGGCCGAATTGAAGATGGACCTATATGGCGCAAAGCAAGGATGCGAAGCATAAGCCTGCGTACTGATGCGACCTCGTCATGACCATCTAGCTAAGGTTGTGGGTGAAATCTTCGTGCGTCAACTTGCGCAGCATCTGTCCGTCAATGGCATTTTCCTCAAACACGCGGCTGAGATGGCCTAGGGAAAGCTGGGTATAAGAAGCCAGGCGCATCTCAGACAGTCCTCGGCGCTCCAGGACGGGCTCTGCTGGCTCACCATCAAGAAGGCGTTGCACTTGCCACACCCAGAGATCACTCACTCCCTGAATGGACACCTTCTTGGTAAGTTTGAAGACCCGCAGCCCCTTCAGCATCATGCCCGCATCACCTTGCGCGAGGAACTTCTTGGTAAGGCCTCGAGCAAATCTGTGATGAAGATTGGGTCAGCGTGCTGGTTTTGTGGGCGGGGCACAATGAGGGGTGTCTTCATTGAACCGCCGGTCATCCAGCCATGCAAGGCGGCACTGGTCAGTTCGATGAGGGGGAAGGCGCAAACACTTTCAAAAAAACAAGAAGCGCTTGCTTGCCCCCATTGTCGTGGAGGCCTGCGTGGCATCAGCCAGGCTCCGACTCCAGCTGCTCCCAAACCCACGCTGCGCCAGGTCTGCCTGCAGACATTTGGGTTTGAAGTCTTTGAGGAATTCCTGAGACAAAAGCATGGCTGCAGATCCACTCATTGACTAGCAGCACACAGTCATCATCAGACTGGTGGCACTCCTCCTGCAAAGGCAGTCACCAAACACAAGGCTTCAGGCAACAACAACCGTCTCAACACAATCCTTTTGCAGCTTTTGCAAAACAAGCACCCAGCGCATATCATAGTTGCAGCTCCTCAGCTGAAGCTGCTGGATCTTCGCTGGTTTCCAGTGGATGCGCATGTGTTGGCACATCCTTCCAAGCTCCCACCCAAAAAGCACACATTGACATAGCTATGAGGCTGCAGTTGCACACATTAGTACGCAGGTTTCCAGCATCAACAGGCGCGTGCGGGTTGGGGCCGAGGCCGCCAATAGACACCGCAAGTGACTCGGACCAGCTTTTAAACCTTCCAACACCTTCACCATCATTTGACGCCCCCGGGCAGGTGGAACATGCGTCATGCCTTCTCTTTCTTGACCCCGCCTGCGCGGTTTTGCTCGACGCTTTGTCCAAGCTAGCGAAGAGAACAAAGAACCGCTGACCCAAGCGGTTATGTGTGTGGCCAACTGGTCCAAAATTGTGCTGACAGCTCTGAAACCTCAAGAGCACATGACACACACACACACACACCGCAGAATGCACACGGCAATCAACACCGCCCAAACGACGTTGATACGGGGCAAGTTTTTTGCTTCGCGGCAGCAAGTTCCATACTTGCATCCTCTGGGGCCTTCTGGGACATCTGCTGCTGCTGAAGCTGCAGGCTCTGGCCAGCGCCGTGCACTCAGTCGGCGCGATCAACGCAAGATTTGCAAAAGGCCTTTTGGTCTCCCAACAGCGTTCAACTCACTGTCCTTCAAGTTCCTCGGCGGGATCTACAAACAACCCTGCCAGGTAAAAGTTGTCATCCAAACACGCACCCTCTGCAAGAGATTCAGCAACCTCCTCGTGATAAAAATGGTGAAGAGAACAGCCCACTGACCTACAAAAGGGCCAATGCAAACATGCTGATGCTGACAAGGGAGTCCACATGAATGTCTGTCAGGGAAGGGTTCTGTCTTGTCACGCAGGCCCATGCAGTTTGCGCATGTCAGGTGGTGGCCGGGAAACATACCCCAGTGAACAGGAAGCAGGTAGACAACAGAAGCTTGTCTCCGTTGAGTGCTTTTCGAAGGAGCAGGCGGAGCAGGCGCAATCGATGGAATTGCAGCAATTGCGCCTTCCTTTTCATTGGCCCGGGCAGGATTTTCGATGTGATGGAGTTTCAGACGCCCGTACGGCGCCCATCCACGGGACTGGGAATGGAGGCATTTTTTGCGCACGTCCCTAAAGCGATGTGATGCAATCGGCAAGGATCCAATGTGGAGGCGACGACGCTGCCAGGGTTAAGTTTGTGTAACCTTGTCATGGTAACAGATTGATTAATTCGTGGTTGAAGAGAATTTATTTCATGGTCAGAAAATACAAGTTTCGTGATTAGGAGTGTCTCTGTGATTTGCCATCCGCTTGCCTTGTTCAGGAGCCCCTTGTCCAGGTTGACCTGCTTGGCCGCCTTCTTCTTGAGATTGGGCTTGACTGAGCAGGTCGGAGAGGAGGAGCCCAGGTTGCCCACCTCCGAGACCAGTTCAGTTCAATATCCCAAGTCGCTGACCATGCCCGACAGTGCCCTCCCTTGGCTTCCACGACAGTGGGAGTGACAGCCGCCAGCACAGTGCTTGCAGCTTCTCCGGAGAAGGCGTCGGTCCTTTTGAGCTTCTTGATGACAGACATGGAAGTCAAGCGGGGTCACAAGTCAGAAACGCGCTTGGGAAATGGCCCTCCGCCTTCCTTGAACTTGCTGGGATCATTGTCTTTCAGCACGGTGTCTCTGTCCTTCTCGGCACGGTACTTCAGCAGCGCCTGAGGCCTGCGAAACCGGCAGTGACTGAAGCATTCCACCTACCGTTCTTCAGGAGCGCCACAACCACAGCCGCAAACCCGGGTCCACACGATTATTTTGGCTTCTTACAGCAGTCCTTGTTTTCTGGGAGCATGTGTCACAGCAAAAGGAAAGAGCGGAGTCACCCGTGCGCGGTGAGCCAAACATTGCTAAAAAAAGATTGTTAGAAAACTTTGGCCCAAAAGTGACATTCGCTGGCTGTCCTTCAGACCGGGTTTGGAGATGGCTGTTGACACGCCCGCGCATGAGAGACTTGAAAGCGCGGTGGGTGGAAATGCGGAACTTCTTGTTGTCCAGGATGGGGTGAAGTAGTCTGTCGGCAAGAAGTGCCATTGCCTGCAAATATCCATTCTCTTGCCCCTGTTTTTTTGTCCAAGGTTTGAGCCAGGCGCCATTGCACGGACACACCCTGCGCCTGCAAGCTTCTCGCCAAACCTTCATGGCCAGCTTCCAGCGCGCAAGAGCTGGTTGTAGATGACCTTGGTCTCCGAGTTCGGCGACAAAAGCTGCTTGCAGATTTGGTCCTCTTTGAGAACTTGCCTCCGTGTCAGCCTCCGCTTGGTGTCTCGGGTCTCAACCGCTCCCCGTTTGCGAGTCCTTCCTGAGAGCGCTCTGCGGTGTCGTCAAATCCGGAGCAGGGACTCCCTTGCGCGCCCGGGCAGCCTCCTACCCTTGCCGCGATATGGACGGCTGTCCAGCCTTGGCTGTTTCAGGCAAACATCTTGTTCAGCTCTGTGTCTGTAGGATGTGCCATGTGGGATAACAAGCAGTGAGCCAAAACACTACTGGCGATGACTGTGAGTGCTCCCCAGGCGCTGTTCGCACAACACACTGATCGGGCTCTGCAAAAAAAAAAGGTTTTAAGGAAAACAACCATCTGCTCTTACCCAACTATCTGCCCCGAGCCCTACCCCTCTCCCAACTTCAATGTTGTCAAGCAACGCTGTCGTGTCTGAAGCCAGAAGGGACGTTTTTCCCCCAGGCTTCGCTAATAAGTGCCACATCCAACTTTGAAGTTGGGGGGCAAGGGGGTCAGCACCTGTTGTGTATTTGGGAAGATGGGCTTTGCTTTGTCGCAGAACCCGGTGCATACATTACATTACGTTACACTACACTACATGACATTCCCATACCATGCCATGCCATGCCATGCCATACCATACCATACACACATTACATACATTACATTACATTACATTACATTACATTACATTACATTACATACATACATTACATTACATACATACATACATAAATACATACATACATACATTACACACATACATACATACATTACATACATACATACATACATACATACATACATACATACATACATGACATGCATACACACATACATTACATTACATTACATTACATTACATGACATTACATTACATTACATTACATTACATACATACATACATACATTACATTACATTACATTACATTACATTACATTACATACATACATACATACAATACATTACATACATACATACATACATACATACATACATACATTACACACATACATACATACATGCATGCGTGCATGCATACATGCATACATTACCTACTTACTTACATACATATATACATACATTACATACATACATACATACATACATACAATACATTACATACATACACTACATACATTACATTACATTACATTACATTCCATTACATTACAACACATTACATTACATGCATGACATGACATGACATGATATGACATTACACATTACACTACATACATACCTACATACAAACATACATTACATACATTACATACATACAATACATACAAACATACATACATTACATTACATGACATGACATAACATCACATCACATTACATTACATTGTATTACATTACATACATACATACATACATTACATACATTCAATACATTCAATACATACATACATACATACATACATATAAACATTTCATACATACATACATACATACATTACATACATACATACATACATACATACATACATTACATTACATTACATACATACATTACACACATACATACATTCCATACATACATACATACATTACATACATACATACATACATACATACATACATACATACATACAAAAAATCATACATTACATACATACATGCACTACATGCGCTACATTACATTACATTACACTTCATTACTTTACATTACATTACAGTACATTACATTGCATACATTACATTACATTACATTACATTACATTACCTTAGATTAGATTACATTACATACATACCTGCATACATAAATGACATACATTACATACAATACAACACAACACAATACAATACAATACAATACAATACATACATACATACATTACAAACATACAGACAACCATACATGCATACATATATTACATACATACCTACATACATACCTACATACATACATATATTGCATACATACATACATAAATACATACATACATACATACACACATTACATACATACATACGTTACATACATACCTACATACATACCTACATACATACATACATACATTACATTAATACATACCTACATACCTACATACCTACCTACATTCATACATACATACATACATGACATGCCTGCATTCATGCATACATACATTACATACAAACATGCATACATACATACATAATTACATACATACATACATACATACATTGCATTGCATTGCATTGCATTGCCTTGCATTGCGTTGCATGACATTACAACACAGTACCATACCATGCAATACCATACCATACCATACATAACATTACACTACATTACACACATACCTACATACATACATACATTACATACATTACATACAATACATACATACATACGTACATACATACATACATAGATTACATTACATTACGTTACATTGCATTACATTTCAGTACAGTACATTACATTACATTACAATACATACATTACATTCATTACTTTACATTACATTACATCATATATTACATAACATTACCTAACATTGCATTTCATTACATTACACTACATACATACATACCTACATCCATACATACACACATTACATGCATGCATGCATGCATGCATGCATGCATACATACATTACATACATACATAATTACATTGCATTGCATTGCATTAGATTACATTACATTCCATACATACCTAACATATCTACATACATACATACATACATACATACATACTTACATACATACATACATTCATTAATACATTACATACATACATACATACATACATACATACATACATACATACATACATACATTACATTACATTACATTACATTACATTACATTACATTACATACATACATACATTACATACATACATACATTACATTAATACATACCTACATACCTACCTACATACATACATACATACATGACATGCATGCATTCATGCATACATACATTACATACAAGCATGCATACATACATACATAATTACATACATACAATACATACATACATACATACATTCATACATTACATACATACATACATACATACATACATACATACATACATACATACATTACCTTACATTACATTACATTACATTACATTGCGTTACACCACAGTACCATACCATGCCATACCGTACCATACATACATTACATTACATTATGTTATATGACATGACATGACATGATACTAGATTACATTACATTACACTACAAACATACATACACACATACATTACACTACACTACATTACATTACATTACATCACAGTACATTACATTGCATTACATTCCCATTTACATTTACATTACATGTACATTTACATTTACATTTACATTACATTACATTACATTACATATATATATATATATGGAATATATATATATACATGTAATACACATATATATGTATGTATTTATGGTTCCGCGATGGTTTCGGACCCGCGCATTTTGCATGATTTCGTATGTGTAGATAGTGCGCCCTATTTACTTGAAGACCTTCTCGAAACTCATAATAAGACAGGACATGAGCACGGATGGTTTGCAAAGGAGCCAACTTGAAGACGAGACGCCTCTTTTCGGTGTGTGCCTTTGTGAATCAGGAGCTGGGAGCTATCATTGGAACAGACGTCGCATGGCAGCGACTGTTTTGTGCACAGGCACTATGTACACATTGCGATTGGTGGAGTCTGCACGGAACTTCCGCCATCGAAATTCAGCCAGGAGTTGGCGCCACTTCGATCGGTCGCTGTGAGACGGGATCGGCCACCTGATTTTTCCGCGCCCACCGCTTGAGGAGACTCCAGCGGTTTTCAACGTGGTTGGTCGTGAAGCCGTTCACGTTGGTGATTTCACCGGCGGCGTGGTTCACAACTTCGTGCCAGAGCTCTGCGTCAGACCAACCATTCTCCTCCTTGAGGGCATTCACCGCGCTCAGTGTAGCCTTCCAGCCGTCTGTGACAAGGATCGTCTTAGGGCGTAACTGGAGCTTACGCAGACACTGGAGGATTTCGAAGTGCCCTCTTGGTTTTCCGTCCTGTGCGTCTGCTGGATGTTCCAGTACCCGGAAGACGAAGCGGTCAGCAATCCCGGGCATTGTGGCTCCCCATATCCATACTTGATCTGTTTGGACACGGGCGCTCTTTGCCAAAGAGCCATTGCGATGTTGATTGATATGAGATTCATCGACTTCAACGACGTACTTGTACTTGCTGTAGAAGGACATTGCCTGGGGCGTCTTCTTTTGCTTCTTGGGCGAGAACTTCTGGCCGGAGGCGGGCCGCTTGAATAAAGAGGAAGGCTTCTTCATGGTGCTGGGGCATGAGGCAGGTCTTTTCATGGAAGGCTTCTTCTGCAATGCACTCTTGGGCTTCGTGATGCGGACCTTGTTGGCTGACTGGGGCGGAACAGACGTAAGAGTAACTGAATCACCTTGGTGCGCTAGGTCTGCCTTTAGAGCTCTTTGGAAGACATCTTCCCAAAGGTTGAGTTGCTGATGATAGATGCCTGTTTCCCAAGATGAGATCCATGATGGATAGTCGAAGCTCCACATGCACATGCAGTCAAAGAAGTGCAAAAAGTTCTTGGCCTTCACGCCTTGGAGGACTGTAGCAGAAGTAAGCGACCTCGATGTACAATCATCACAATGTCGTCCTCTAGGAACCCAATCCCACCAGCTCAAAGGTGATGTGCTTCTTGTCATTAATGTAAGCTTCCACCTCAAGCTTCATCCTTTTCGATGGCGGCATTGCTTATCCAAGAAAGAGCTTATTTCAAGCTTATCCGATAAGCCTATATTGAGCATCATGCATACAAACACAGCATAGTTCAGGACAACCCTGTGCATGCCTGTGAGCACCACGAACGTAAGAAAGCTAGACTTTGCCAACAGAAGCTGAGTTTGCAAACGGAAGTTGAGTTTGCAAACTGAAGTTGAGTTTGCAAACTGAAGCTGAGTTTGCAAACAGAAGTTGAGTTTGCAAACAGAAGTTGAGTTTGCAAACGGAATCTGAGTTTGCAAACAAAGGCTGAACTTACACATGCAAGTTCTTGGAAACATTGAATGTAATACCCGAAATGCAAGGCTCTTTGAATGTTTGCATGAGCTTTCCTATCATTCCTGACAATGAAGCCAGATCCCAGATCTTGGGTGGGGGGGGGGGGGGGGGGGCCAAACTTCAAGCAGTCCTGGGTGAAGGGGGGGGGGTTGACACCAGGACTGCTTGAATTTGAACCCCCCCCCCTTCCCCCCCTTCCCCCCCCCCCCTCGCCCGCTCGCACTGCCTGAAGCAAGCCCCCCCCCTCCAGTGAGACCATGGGTAACAGGACTAGCGGATGGTTTCGAGTAATATTCAGAAACATGTCCCAGTAGAATTGAAACACATATATACATATAAAGCCTTTCCAAATGCGCGGGTCCGAAACCATCCGCGAGCCGTATTTATATTTATATATATATATATATATTATATATATATATATATACATAATACATTTATGTATATACATAATATGTAATACATATATATATATATATATAGTGCTAGTACACATGTGTGTGCAATATATATTTTCAGCACATCGCGGTGTGACCCTTGTTTCAGCCACCGCCATCTGAGCGAACATCAAAACCTACTGAGGGTCCGATAGTGGCAGTTGCTTGGCAGTTGCTTGGCAGTTGCTTGGCAGTTGCTTGGGATTATTCCTCGCCAGGGTTCATCTACCTAGACGCTACTTTCTAGCCACAAATCTGACTTACCCTTCATCTTTACAGGGGTATGTCTTTAAAATTGCACCCCCGATTTCCTTTGGGCTCCCTCTAAAATCACCCCGAAAGGGTAACCTCACCAAAAGGAGTCTTGATTGTTGCTCTCGCGTTGAGGTTCGCACCGGTACTTGCTTCTTGGCGATCCAGGACATCAAGCCTTCCTGTGCCATGCGTGTGTCTCAAAATGGCTCCGTAGTGTTGACCCCAGACCAATAAACCCAGCCTACTATTCGGGGCGTCACCCACAAAAGTGGTCCGGATTCCCTCTAAATGAGGACACCCCCCTATTAATCAACAAGGGTTCATCAATCTGGGGTTCCCATTAAAAAGGCAGGAGATGGGAAGCCAATAGCTTCTCAAAGTGCTCGTCGGGGGATTGGTTTCCTTTGCTTTTCCCTTCTACCAACCAAAAGGGGTCTACCATTTTGATATACACATGTGTAGGTATGATTGTTTTGACGTCGGGAACAGAGTCTCGGACTGGCCGGTGGATATAAATCACCATGCAACATGTCAATGATGTCCGCCAAACGAGCTAGACCCTTGTTTCGGCCCTTGCAAGAAACCAAAAGGAAACCAACCTGTGAAAGGGTTCCTGGGTTTGAATAAGGGCATTACTTGGATGCTCAAGGCTAACCATGGTAAGGGGACTAACCCCAGTTACCCCGTTTACCCCAGCTATAAACATACAACTTACTTACTAAGCAGCTTGAACATCCAAGTGGAGAGAGGTACAACTGCCAGAATCCCCTCAAGGGTTAAGATGCGAAGTGGGCCATAGTCTTTGTTCCCAAGGAAGGCACGGAAATTTGGATGGGCCCATGGATTTTGTGGGACTGGTTGGCACCGCCCATCTTAGTCCCACTAACGGTAGACTTCCCATCTTGACAAATTCTCACATCGTGCTTGGTCTTAGACCACGTGATGACATTCACATTTTATTTGTTCACACACTTTTAAGTGACCAACAAAGCGTCTGCCACACATATCACTTGGTTTCAGCCAGAAGCTCCGAGGAGCCGGCAAAGCTTTCTCTCCAGCTGTTGCTGGCAGAGAAGAAGAGCACCTGGAGGCTGATGATCCATTTCATATCTTTCACTCTTTCAAACACTCATACTTCAGCGTGCAGCTGTGTTTGTGGGTGGCTTGGGCTGGAGCCCACAAACAACGGGGTCAGCTCCTCCTATAGGGGGATTAGAAGGGGGTTGCAACCCAGATTGCTAGCCACTTGCTATCTTCTTGACCGAACACCCAAGTAGTAGGAATGCGCCGGAGCCATGGTGTTTGTTTAAGTGCTTCCGTCTCTGCGCGAAATAGGGCACCCTTTCTGGAATCCCCCTTGGGGTCTGGACAAAGTGCCTCCGGGACCAAATGACAGCCCACAGCTCTTACACCCCAATTGGAACATGTGTCAAATCAGGAGGCACATCGCGCGGCTTGCCCTGCCACCTTTTCGTGGGTCGGGAAATTATCCCAATGTCCATGGTTCCCTTGACACATTGATATTCGGCATTCTCAGCATCGGCCTTCTCCTCGAAATCGAAGTTGCGAACTAGTGCAACCTCAGCGGCACAAACGTGGCAGGTGCCTCGTGACAGCTGCAATTGAAACATTCCACTGCGTGACCGGCAAACATTGAGGCCCTCACACACGGTACTTTCTGGCTGCCAGAACCTCACGGCAAATCGCTGGTAGGCAAGAATTTGGGATCGCCTGGCATGCTCCGCGCATCCGTGCAACTGGGACGCACTTTCGCCAGGCTAGGGAGAACCACCAAAATGATTGCGGTTGTTGCTCACGTTCACTTCCTTGCCAAGGTCTGCAACATCAAAACAAATAATAATGTATCTTGGCATTTTCGTTCCAACACTACATTTTTCTGGGTCCACTACTCCGTCGCTGTTCAAGCTACTTCTCAAGCCAAGGCAAGCTGCATTTGCAACCCAGCAGCATTCTGATGATCTCTGCTTGGTCACTATTAAGGCGGAAGCATACGGCGAATTGGATTTGAGATGTTCTGGCTCCAGCATTCTACCATCAATTTTCTAACTTTGACAAGCCCCAAACCCATTTTACAAATGTGTCTGCAACTCCATCAAAATTCCATATTTATATTGTTTGTCCTGTCAATTGGACCAAAAGGTAAGTTCACGACCTTCCCATGCCGGAAACGGCGGGTAAACGATAAAAGCTGGGGAGAGAAACTTCAAGAGCCAATACATTTCCTTTCTCTCCCTTACATCCCTTTTCCTTTATTGTAATTCTCTTTTATTTCTTTCACATCTTAAATTAATTTGGAAAAGCATATGAATGAGAAATAGAAAAAGACAGAGAATTGGAAAAAGATAAAGATGACATGATAAAATGCTTTTCAGAACTTAATGTAAAGACTATGCCTCAAATAAATGGAACCGTCCAAACAGGTAGTTTCCTTTGGGTTTCCTTTGGGCTTCCCTTCACGCCAACCCCACGTTGGATATGCATGCGACATGTCGCTCGTGCCTAATCCCTGCAGCAACTCGGCGGAGGCGGACTCGATGATGCCCACGGGGACGCCTGTGTGGGACTGATGCAAGGGGAAAGCTCCCCTCCCCCCCCTTGGTCAAGAGTGAAAGAGATCTCTCTCAAAACGACCAGGGTTTCGCCTCTTTAGTGACTTCCCACGGCCTTCCCTAGAAGGAAAGCAGTCTTCCGGAACCATGCGGTCGTCATCAACGTGGTGAAGGAGAGAGTGACGGAAGGGAAGGCATTAGTCATTCTGGTTTGTCAGAAGTTCAAACTACCACCTTAGTCCGAGCTGCCCTTTTCGAAGGGTGCCCTTCAGATGCGAAACAACTCTGCCAGTCCCAGTTCTCTTAGATGACCGTCTGTGTGCCCTCGACTGTGATCGTTATTCCCACCGGCTTGACATAATTCGCTTGCATAGAACTCATTTGTAGTTGGACCTCTCCAAATGGTTTGCAGACGGGCATCCCGCAAATGCATTAAACTTTCTGCCCGGTGATTTCCCTTCCCGGAGGGTCCACGTATTCCATATTCATGGTTTTGGGTTTGGCGGAGGGGATGTGGTGCAGTAGAAATCTCAGAATCCACAGGATTGTTGGGGCCCGGAAAATTTCATGGCTTTCCTTTTCGTTTGCCTTTGAAGCACTATGAGGAGGGTTCCGTGGTACCGAGCCTGATACGCAAAAAATCGGGAGAACGAGTGGTTCCTTTTGGTTTCTCTCGAAACCAAGCTGAGAACTGAGAACCAAAAGCCCAGAGCCTCCGGGTCGGAAGAACGACAAGTCGCCTGTAGCCGCACCCTTGGGGTTCAGCGCGAAGGACACATCCTGGACAGTTTGACTCTGGCAGGTGGGGTTAGAGCCCCACAGAGCCCCAGAATGGTTGCGGTGCTCCTGTTCAGCCGCGAGAATCAAGTTCCCCCAAATGCCTCTGGTCGGGAGATTTCCAGGGCTTACCCCGTTCCAATTTGGTGGGCGGCCGTACTGAAAGGCAAGTGTTCTTTCACATGAGCACTGAATAATGGTCATTCTCCCCGCTATTGACATTGGATTTTGGCGAGCAAACCCTATCTTCTACTGATCGTTTGATGACAGTGCTCTGTACCATCCCCTCACTACAGACGAGGACGAACACCCACCATTAGGTCCACTGATACATCAGCACGGAGCTTTTTGAGAAGCCAGCTGACAAATCGATCCCCTTGTGGTTTCTTTACATGGCAAAGTACAACTACGGCTGGGCAAATCGAACATATCGATCTGCTTGCTGCTCATTCAGGGAAAATCAACACTCACGACTGGAACGTTCGAACATATCAACTCTCCTGCAGCTTCCTTTAGGGGAAACAAGCGATGATGACTGCCAAATTCGGGTATATCTATCACGCTATAATCTCCTTTCGCGGAATAAACGACCATGGCTGGAAAGCTCGAAACATCAATTCCAGTGTGTATGTTGCGGGAGAACCAACAAACAACGGCTAGAAGATTCAAACATAGCTAGTAGCTATCCTTACGGCTTCCTTCAGGGCAAATTTAGGACTAGGTCAGTCGGATTTGTTTGAAGTCCCCCGGTCCTCCAGCACCTGAAAAAGCATGCTGCTCTCCATGATGCCGTCGAGTAGTCTGCCGAAGAAGGATACGTCCGGCCGACGACCCGAACCAGACAAGTGGAAGCTCCAGGTGGCCGTGGCAAAAAGCCATTCTAACAAAGAGTACCCAGTACCTCCTCAAAATGCGAGAATGCCGGGGGGGGGGCATTTCAGGCCAATCATGCTGGCACATTGCCCTGTTGCCCCAACATGACGTGTGAACCTCAGGAATACGGCAAGGGAAAAGAAGGAAAAAATCGGATGGAAATCTTTGAATGGGTACCATTCTACTTCATGACAATAATGGACAAACTAGAGCCTGCAGTCACTTGCCAAAAAGAAGCACTGAAAAGTCTGTTAGATTCTGAGCAACAGCAGGCAAAAACAGCCACACGAGCACACGTTGTCATGGACATGGCCCATAAATATAGCCTAAGCCCGCAACGAGAATCCAGGGATGCACCCCCCAACACTCGCATGGCTGCTGGTCTACACTGAGTCGGAGGCTTGGTTTCAGGTTGGCGTCGATTCATGTTGAAAGAAGATCCACATGGATTGTGGGTCAATCAAATGGAGTGCTCTAGGGGGGCAAATGGCTTCCTTTTGGCGTCCCTTTAGAACCAAGAAAAGATGGGTTCAGCGCAGAAGAACATATTGAGAACCCAAGATTGACAACCCCCCTGGTCCAACTTGACACCTTATTACGTCAGGTGGATGAATTTATCATCAGGGGGACCCCCAAAATGATGTCTCGCATCCGATTCCCTTGAAAAGCAGCATCTCCGCGCCAAAAAGACCTACGCAGAGCTGCGCCGGCCCGGCCGTTGACCGACGCACGGCGCACCCCACCACAGCGATGCTCTGCTGTGGGAAGGACAGCACCTCTTCGGCCGAACCCGTGAGGCCTGGGCGCTGTGTTTCTGGATTCGGTTGCGAGAGAAACCAAGAGGAACGAACCGCCCATTTTGAGGGCCACCTCATTTTGGCAAACACATCTGAGCAAACTGCAATTTATACACCGGAAAGCAGGGTTGGGAACCTCCAGCATGTCTGTGAGCTCGCGCTTTTGCTTGCCCACGGAAGGATCAACACATGGAGTACTCGTGACCACTCATTTGTCAAGGGACTTGGAGATGGCAGAAGGACAGTCCAGTTAGTGCATCTTAGGTACTGCTCAGAGAACAAGCACACGGTGTTACAGCCCCAAGTGTGTGCTATGTGGGCCACGCTTACCTTGATAGGAATCCTTACGATGGCTGACTAAATTAAGGGCTCCATGACCATCTCTACCAATCTCAAGTGGTCTTTTGCATGTGAACAACGGCTCCCTGAATCGGAATCCTTCTGACGTGCACACTACGCCTTTTCGCATCCCGCCATGTTGATGCTGGAGCACGCGCGCGTATGTACATTGGTAGGGGATTCTACTCTGGCCAAAGTGGTTCTGGGCATACTGAACATGTGTTTTGCCATCCCAGTCTTCGCTCCTCACAGAGGCAACACATAGAGAACACACCATCCTGAACCTCTAGTCATCCATGTGGGCACACCCGCAATCCTAAGAACTGGTGGAGTTGAGAACATTCCCTTGACGAACCTGCCATGTGACACCTGGAAATCGTTTCATAACGCAAAAGCCAGGGACATGAGTAGAGTTAGGCCCAGCTATAGAATGTAGATTTTCACTTTGAGTCACTGGTAAAATGTAAAATGTATCCTAAGTCTACCCTAGGGGAGATGTTTTGGGCCAGAGACTCACGGGCAAGGACTCAGAGTTCCAGCGTTGCCGCCAGGCCCAGGGCCGCCAAGGGCTGGCCCACTGCCTGCAAGCCCGCCAGCAGCTTCTGCTCCAGGCCCTCCTCAAAGGAGCCCTCTAGACGTCCCCAGTCAGATGCACCCGTCATATGAAGGAAAGTGGTCACTCAACCATAGCCACCAAACCCATATGAAGCCAAACAAGATATCATTACCATCTGTTTCCCAAGAGGCCAAGGGAAAATAGTGTGGTCTTCCTGATGCTTTGTTTGCAGGTATCCCCTATGTGCTCCCAAAACCAACAGAAGACTACCAATCATTTAGGCAGTACTTTTGTCAGTCACTCAATGTAGCCGTTGGGCAAACCCGCATGCCCCATACCCCTCATGTATTGCATAAGATAGGTTGGCATGCCCCCAGGTAACACGGGTATTTTCGGAAGCAAATGGGCTTGCAGGTAAACTGGAATGAAGTTGCCATTCTAGTCAGTTTCCACGTTTCTTGACTGTTTTCTAAAGGGAGGACCCTTGCTTGCTGGTATGCGAGGGGATCAAAGATAGATCCAGTACACAAAGCGAGTCCCCGGTTTTGAGGTACCTTCCTGAAGCCCGTCAAAACCAGAACACCCCGAACTGATGCCAACTTTCAATCTGCACAGTGTGATTCAGAGTATCAGTAACAGTGATGAGGACCTTCGCTTTGGGCAAGGGGGGACAAGCGCTTGCAAGCAATACAATTTGTCCTAACGTTTGGGTTCTCCCCGAAATCCCTGACAGGCCAGACAAGGATCTAGTACCTGCTAAAAGGGAACCCAAGCAAAACCCGGCCTTGTGTCTACCTTTCTGGTTAGCAGACGCTCTGAGCCGCGTTTGGGCTTGTCACTTGGCCCCTCATGCCGGCCTCCACCTCGCTGGCTGCCACGATCAGCGCATAGAAGGGCGCCTCGTTGGTGTGACCGCGTGGGGTGAACTTCCACCCCAGGTGCCGCCCGCTGCCGCGCCGGCAGATCACGATGGACCACTCGTAGCCCACGAACCAGCTGTCGCGCGCCTGCTCCGGAGACACCTCCAAGACCTGCCGGACGTTCGCGGGAAGTAAGTGCCCCTGGGCTTGGGCGACTGATACAAGCACCAAGCTGAAACCCATGGGCTGTAAAGGACACCCAGAAACCCCAACGCCAGTCGCGTGTCTTGTGGATAAGAACCTGTGACTCTGGCAAAGTCCTAAGGTCCTCTAGTGAAACGGGACCAGCACACATCCCAAATCCCACAGAACCAAACCAAAGGCCCCGCTTGGAGCTTGGGGTCACCTTCGAAGGCTTCGACGTTTCCAGGGCTGCGCGCCTCCAGGTCCGTGAGATCCAGGGCCCGGAGCAGCAGCAGCTTGAAGGGCAGCTCCAGGTGGCTCAGGCGCCGGGGCTGTCGGAAGTTGTACAACGTCACCTGCCGCGCGCGTGCGCCAAGCGCGGGGCCATGGGGGGGGGGGAGGGTGCGGGGGGGGGTTGGGAGAGGGGGAGGGGTTGGGGGAGGGGGAGGGATTGGCTTTGGAACCAAAGGTTAGGTTTGGACAAAATGCCATCGAGGGGGGCTGTTTGTGAATGGGCGGGGAGAGGGTTACCCTCCTGAGCACGGTTGATACCCATTCGGAGATAGACCCCAACAGGAAATGGGTTTGTCTGCGAACCCTAAAATGAGGTGGTCTCAAAGGGAGATGGGGAAACAGCCCGAAAGCGTGTTCATTTGAACCATCAGCACTAAGTACTATAGTCCAACAACCTGAAACCAGGGAGCCATGAGGGACCGTCATGGGCAGAATCCCGCTTGTCCCCAAGGTGAGCTCGCCATAGTGGGTGGGCCAGTTCTGATCCCTTCCCACGGGAACCACATGGGTACCCCCTCACAGGGGGGAAAGCCCCCGGTGACGGTATGGTTTCTCTCACCACCCTGAGGGAACCTGCAAACAACGCGAACCACCTCCAGGCCGGCGACTTTGTGGCGCTCCAGCGACATCAGCGAGTCTGCCTGGCACAAAAGGGCCGGGTAAAGGACGGAGACAGGGCAAAGCAAATGACGGGTGTGGCTTTGCTTGGTTCGTTTTGCTTGTTTGATGGGTTTGCCCCTTTGAAACCCCGAAGAAGGTCGGCATTTTAATTGGGGGCCCTGTGGGTGGACATCAAGTTCATACGGTTTGTGTCCACCAGTTTGTAGTGTTCTCTTCTTTTGCTGGGGTTCTTGCCCAGCAACAATTTGCAGGAAGTTCTCCCCATTTCAGAGCCATGGCAGTGAGTGTCCAGGGTTTAAGGGCGCCCGTTACCGCTGATCGCATGGTCATGGCTAGACCATGGCTTGCAATTTGGAGGGCGCAGGGCAGACCGATGCTCCTTCCCGAATGTGGGTTGGTGTTACAACTGAAAACACCTCTCGATGACAACAGCTCGTTGACCGGCTTCACCATAAGCAAGAACTAGATGAGCGCATATGTTTGACACATTCCCATGTCTGAACCGTCCTTCAAATGACCAGGTGGCAGAACTTCATCCAGGGACCTTTCTTTAGGACGCTCTGGAAGTACAACTAGAACTTCAAAGTGCAACTACTGTCAATTAGCAAAGGTCCCAAGTCTGTGCACATCTAAATCAACTGCTGTCGTTTGAACCGCAGCTGCTTACCCAACCCTGCCGGGGGTTCGTGGTTGAGGTTCCCGCAGGGGGGGGGCTCGGCCCAAAACACTTGCTTGTTGGCCCACTTGGGCTAAGGTGTCCAAAGGCCAAAGCACTGTGGGTGTCAAAACGAGTACAAACCCCAGACCCTTTTCAACTCATGAGAAACCAACACGAAAGCAAACCGTTTGTTTGGGATGTGGAAAACCCGAACCAACAGGGCCACCACTGCTGTGTGCCCAAACTCGGGATGGGGTCAGTGTTGGAAGCGGAATGACACGAAACCAAGCATCTGAAGACCTAAAGGTGGCCTTTCGTGCTCCAGACTCCTTACTGGGAGCATGGTAATAGTTCCCTTCAGAATCCTTCTGCTGGCTGGGTACGCGGGTCCTTTGATTGTGGCCTATTTGATGTAAGCAACGGTCATATATTGACTCTCAACTGCTGTGATAAAGGGAAAGACATTAAGTTCACTCACCGAACTACCATTCAGGAAAATTGGCCAGAGTCACCAAATACCAATTGGGCATGAGAGTTTGTCGAACTGGCCGTTCAGTGGTCCCAGATTCCGTTGAGAGTTTAGAGGCGGCGCCAAATGAAAACTTTGCCGACGCTTGGAGAAACCTCCCATTTGCTCAATTGCTGGTTGGTGCGTGGTCAATGGCCATGCATTTCCTGCTCATTTGCTGACTCCGATCTCAAACCGAGCGGCCCTTTTGATACATTTTTTTGGACAAGCGTGGCACTAGGAATCCCACACTGGAGGTGTAGCAGTTTCGAATATCCGACGATGCATGTTTGATTCTGCCAAACAAATTGCTCGAGGTTGACATAGTACTGCAAGCCCGATTCAACAGGTGTCCTATCTCTGGACATTCAAACGTCAAGGAATTCCTAGTAATTCTCGGCGGAATATTACCACCCGAAACCGACCAAAAAACCATCCAAAAAAGAACGACTCCGTATAAAAACACGCATCTCATCCATTGCTCGACCGTCCCAAAACAGAGCAACCGGATTTCGTCCCATTTCATTCCCCCGGCGGATCGGCAAGCCGACGCGATGTCCCCAAGATCGCCTGCACGGGGGGCTGCAGCTGCAGAATTTGCGACAGCTCCAAGCGCTGCGCCGGGCACTCGCAGTCGCCTTTGATGGCGCTAGGCAAATGGCAAATGGTGCCGCACTCCAAGAGAGTTCCCCAATGTGGCTAAGAATTCCAATGAAGGCCCCTTAGGCCTGCGTTGTTGTTAGGGGTCCATATGCAATTTTGGACTGGGTGCATGGGGTGCTCCACCTGTTTTGCTTCTGGACATTTGGGGGGCCATGCAGATTGCCAACAAATATTGGCATTGGCCCATATGGGTTTCTCCAAGTGGGGGAACCCCTACAGTGGATGGTTTCAACATGGTTTCCCGTGCCTTCAAGAAAAAGGCAGGGAGCTCCTGAAATCTTCAGCCGCTTCACCGGAACCAAAAGCCAACCATGTGCGTGGCTCAAAAAAGGGGACTCTTGAGGTTGCCATATCCACCACTTCGGATTGCCCTCCCACATTTTCCAATGTTTGCCAACTAGCATTCCATCTGCAAGTTTATTTTCCTGGATGCTTGTTTCTTTTTGTCGTGTATTGGTCGCCCCTGTCATTGCCAAGAGGAAGGCCTTGACGTCAAGTCACCTCCATCCTTGGAGTCGCAGGTCTCAGCCGGGATGTGGGGATTTCCGGTCGCCACCAGGCTCGCACTGGCGCCCGCAAGGCCGAGAAACAGCAGAGCCAAGCGCATGGCGCGCTGGGAGAGTCGCGTCTCGATTCTCTGAGCCAACTTTGGCTATGTCGGCGGCTGTATTACTTGCTGGTTTCAGTCATATGGATCGTCTGTCTGAATCTTCTCCATCCACTGACAAAACTCTTACATACATGTTGCTCCATGTAATTGTGGCTCAGTTTGGTTTTAAAGTATGCCACCAAACCCATTCGAATGTTGAAAGCCCGAAGGGGGGCTGAAAGTGCGCGAAAAGTGCGCGAACTCCCTTCTGTGCATTTGGACAGAAACCACAACCAGGAAGGAACAGTGTTGAGCAAGACCAAAATCAACGTGCACAGCGATAAGGTTCTTGCAGGCTTCTACTGGTCTTTGCGAGTGGTGTCTTTTTGAGAGTACCCTTTTCGCGGAAGAGGAGCCAAAGGGTGGTCCATCTAGAGATAAACCCAACTGACTACTCCCATCATACACCACCTTCTGAGCGCCGGTCGCTTCACGAACTGCTCTGTGAGCTTGCCCTGGGTATTTGAGCAGAGCCCAAAAGCAACTGAGTCACAAGTTTGTCACAAAACAAGGGGATTCCCAAGAGGGTGGTTGCTCTCTTGGTTTCCCTTCAAAGGGTACCCCGTGTACCCTCTACAAAGACACGCCTGAATTGCGAAGAATCAAAAGGGCTTCTTGTCGCACCTGTTTCGGGTTGGACATGTTGGAACCTTTGCCCCAGGTTTCAGGCACCCCATGTCCTCCCCCAATGTCAGAAGAGACCACCGGAAATTGGTGGTTGCCCACATTCCCACAATGGACATGGCACAATTTGGAGCCCCCCCCCCCTTTTTTCCTTGGACATCTAGCTAGTCCACCCATTTGCCTCTCAGATTCTGTCTCCATTTTGGAGGTCTGGCTGGTTCACAAGGAAAACCAAAGGACACCAACCTGGATGATTTGACTTCTGTTTGAGCAATCCCAGACCAGTGACTGGATTTGTTCATCTCATTTCAGGCGCATCCGCCTATTGCCCCAAGAGACAAAAAGAAAGAACCGCCTTCGCCCACTCCGCCATCTTGTCTGCGGTGCGGGGGCCCTCGTACTTCACAGAGACCTGCAGGGCTTGGAGGAGCCCAATGGTGCGTCTCAAGATAGCGATGATCCCCGAATGATCGGTTGCTTGTCGGCTTCTCTTAACAAAACTCCAAACACATGTACCCTCCAAAACACGAAACACGCGGAAACACACGGTTTGATCCCAAAGGCCGACAAGTGCGGAACTTCAGTAGTTGTTGGTCCCTTGTGAAAAGTTAGACTTGTGGCATAAGTCGTCAACTCCTGTAAACGTAAAATGTAAACATGGTGGACAAGACCAACCAAATACATCCAACACTCACATTATCATCAAACAAATCCAGGTCAGCTGGAATTGCAACTTTTCTCTCGGAACAGGGTATGCCCACTTGGCTGGACGCTTCGAGCCTTGGGGTTGCCCCTGTAGAGTCTCAATGTGGGGAAGGACCTCGGCCGCGAAGCTGTTCTTGCAGACTCCCTTTGTGCCACAAGTTCTGCAAATCGAGGCAACTCTACACAAGCCCAGCTGTCACCCCTTTCCAACATCCAAAAACAAGCTATATCTTACCTGCAACAAATGTCCCATGCTCCCTGGGAGCTCTTGAGAAACTGTCCGACTAGTCCGACATGACAAGATTTGACCTGAACACTTCACCTGCCCGGACTCCGAGATTCAGCGCCCAAAACCTATTGACTCCAGTGGCCAACCAAAACTTTCCGAAGGCAACAAGGCCTTCGAACCCCCAAAAGGAGTCTCAGATGTGTGACACTCGGGATGACCCACAGAGTGGCGGTTTCCTTCTTGGTTTCCCCCCTTTCAAGGTGAACCAAGGAGTACCAACTCCCAAACAACCCGCCCACACGTTTCCGAGCAGCGAAACGGCCGGCCCAAGTGCAGGGCTGAACCTCCTGCTCCTGCGCCAGCGCCTTGTGGGCAATGGCATCGACCTGCCAACCGAAGCGGCCAAGGCCGGGCGCCGGCAACGCGAGAAAATCGAGTCTCCACTCCGGAGGTTCCGAGTCGCTGCTTCAGTGAGCTGTGACAGGGGTTAGTCCCCTTGTGGTTACTGAATGTGTCGGGGACAACTGGCAACTGGGGGGTCGTCCCCGCACCTGTGGTTGTGGGGGTCAGCTACTTTAATTTGGGTCTGGGGTTGGCGTGAGGTTTCTGCAGGTTTACCCACGAGTCACTTAAACGGTCTGTATTTCGTGAGTGTGTCTTTCCGTGAGTCTTTTCAAAGGAAACCACAGGGAAACCAGCCAGTTTGGAGGTTCCCCTGAGACAAACCCAGTATTTCATGGTCGGGGCAGCTAGGGTGTATAGGGCCTTCACCAGGCCGCACTCAGATAATCCCCACAAAGATTGACTGGAAATTAGGTTTCCTCAGTTGAAACCATCCAAAAAATGGGGTGGGGGTTGGTCAAATAGTCACCAACTCCACCGGGGGGGGGGGCTAAGTACCAAATGGTCGAAAAGAGTGCCCTCATTTGAGGCACAACCAAACCTGCTCTGGCTCCAAGCGCCAATAGCCCTTCCTCGCACTCGCCTTCGCCACCAGGATCCCCGCGTCCTCACTCAGCTCCGCCGTCCTGCTGCCACCCCCGAGCCTCCCACCCTGACATCAGGTTCCATGTCTTGCCGCGTGGAAACAAGCTGACCCTTGTTTTGGATGTGGGACCAAAGACCCTCATCTCCCGCAGATTGCAAAAGGCAAACAGCTTGTTGGCCTTCAGATTCTGTCAAGAGCGCGTTTTGCAGCCACGGATTGGCGGGTGCACGCATTGGCACAAACCCGGTCGCCTGTAGCATGTGCAAACAAAGCCTGCAGGAATTGAAACAGTGCCCAGGCGAGCTGTGATAGTGCACTTGTGGGTCGCCTTGTTGCAACCGCTCAGTGGCCCCCGGCGTTGAAGCCGCTGCACTGCTTCATGCTTGGACGGCATGCCTTCTTCACGCAGCCGGTGCAGGCGGGGCTCTTGTCATTGCTGATGCACTGATTGAGGCACTTGTCGCGACTGCACTCCACCAGGTGGGCCATGCAGGAGGCACAGCCAGCGGAGTAGCCCTTCTTGCTCATGCAGTCCTTGGTGCAGGGGAAGCCAGCAGCACACGAACGGCCGCACTGGTTCAGGGAGCCGTCGAAACTCTTGCGACCACCAGACTTCCAGGTGTGCAGATCCGCATGGTTGGTGCATGCTCCGCTGCCCTCAATGTCATCTTCGACCTCAATCTCCTGCTCCTCCTCCTCATCGTCCATGAGGGCTTCCAAGTAGTTCACCTTCATGCCACGCAGCTGGTTCAATTCCAGGCTGCAATCCTCGCCAGCAGCGCATGCGTCATCTGCTTCCAACGCCGTCTCCACATCTGCTGCTGCCACAGCCAGGAACAGCATCATCAGGCGATACATCATGGTGCCGACAGGAGGTAGGCTGCAAGACTGGCGAATGAAGGCAACCAAAGCCGAAATGCTGCGGCGCGTGCTTCCAAAGTGACAGGTGCTGCTAATTGGTCTGCCATACAAATCAGTTCGGCCCTTATCGCTATCGCAACCATGCTTATTTGCAAGCGCTGACGCGGGGTAAAAACTAGCAATTTCTGCGTGCTTCAACCCACCAAGACTCAGGAGACCACCAAAGTGTTCCCATGAGATTTTGGGGAAAGCTTAGCAACTTTGTGAGCTCATTTGATGCTGGCATGTGATGCAACTTCGGTCTTCTCCCACTCCGGGACGAGCTTCTTACAATGTCCGCCTCAGACGGCAGTTGACAGCTTGATTCTCCGCTTGCCCTTGGAGGCACCTGCCAAGGTTCCCCCAACAAGGACATTCAGCCAAAACTGAACCATTGACGGCGGTGCTTAACTTGGATGACAACAGAGGGAAGCAGACTCCTGCGGAAACCCTTCAGAATCAACCTGTCAACCAGAACTTTGAACTGCTCAGGATCTCCAGTTGCAGATCAGGAATCACAAGGGCAGCTGCTTGGCGCGTCAATGACAGAACTTTTATATAATGCGGGTGTCTTCGACTTGCTCCCTTTGAAACCAAGCCAAAAAGGCTTTGATGGAGGTGGCACAAAAGGGCACAAAGGCGCGCTGCTTGCACAGGATGGACGAAACATGGCCCATCAAGTTGTTGCTTGGGCAGAAAAGCCATGGTGTCAGAACAAGTTTGATGAATCCCTTTGTGGCTTCCTGAACAGCCCCCCAGGTTCCAACATATTGGCCCAATGAATTAGCATTGGTGTCCTTAGGGAGACCTTCTTGGAGTTTCACAAGGGAAACCAAGTGACATCTCCCAGTTTTGGGGCCAAGGCCCCTGTTTTAACGGGAAATCCGGAGGGGGGGGGGGGTGGGAAACCGCTCAGTTTTGGAAAAAAAAGTGGCTCAGAAATCCGGCCCGGGCACCATTTTCACTTCGGACCCCTTCAAGGCCCCCCACACCACGGCGCATAAAACTCCACGAAGCTCAGCCCGGACCTGCGGATCGCGAGAAAAGTCGCCCTTGGCCTTCCAATAAGCTGGCTGCTTCGCAGCAACAGGGGGTTGGGAATGAACCGTTGGATCCCAAAATAAGGGATTGTCAGCGGCTCAAAAACACAGCATCGTTCAGCAAAGTGGTTCAAAGCTCGGATTGCTCCCTCATCGAAGCAAGAAAAAAGCAACTCCTCCGCGCCTGGCCACGGCATCCGAAAAGTTTCCGGCGCCGAGGTCCACCACCTGTGAGCCAGCACGGGCGCCGTGGTCAAAGCTTTCTGGGTATGTCAAAGGGGCACCCCAGAAGCGGATGTTTTCCACGTGGTGTCACTTTATTTAGTCCGACCTGAAAAGGATGCCCACAAAAACACACACACACCCTTTGCAAGTATGTTCTGAAACAGAATAGCCCATTCCCTCGAAGCACCAAAAGGGGCTGCCCAAATTTAGGCAACACTCAACTTGTTTGTTCAGCCATGGCTCCCTACAAGCCAGTGCGCGCCGTTGGCTGAGGTCATCCTGAACATACTACGGAGCCCTTTCCATTGGAATGTGTTTAGAAGACTTGCAACTGAGTCAGTTTGTTTGTTCAACAAGTCAGGTTGCTTCAGGATCGGCATAGTGGCGGATACGCCGCTTGATCTCGTATTTTAAGTTGATCGTCTTGCTAATTCCGGCTGCCAAGTACATTGCAGTGTCTACTGGTGTCATGTGCCCGCCGCTTTTAAATTTGAACGGCCACGTGCGCTAAACGTGATGTAGCAGCATTTGCCTTTGTTCAGTTTCATATGGAGGATAATGAACAAGAAAGAGCTCAACGGGCATCCTTGTCTAATACCGGTTCGCTGTGTTCGACCAGCGCTGGCGTTGTTACGGTGAACAACCTGGAACAGTGGGTTGCGATACATCTATGAAGTTAGACGGAATGCCGAGGCCGAAAAAGAAAAACACTTGGGTTGGCCCAGCTTATCGAAGGCGTTTCCCAATCGAGGAACAGCAGAAACTGCAGGCTGTGACCTGTTCAGCAATGTCTGACAGTCGCCGGACGCAGTAGAGGGGTCTGCGGTTGATTTACCAGCACGGAAGGCGTATTGGCAATGTCCCAGGATTGGTTCGTTTACGCTCGACATGCTGGAGCATATCACGTGCGCAAAAGCCTTGTATGTGAGATTGGTCTGTAATTGTCTGGATTGTCGTCGTCTCCTTACCACACTCAACTTCCTGGGTGTTGTTGCATCAAATGCTGCAGATGCTGGAAAATGAAACAGGAACCAACATGAAACCAGTGAGCATCTTCCATTCTCAACCAAACTGACCCGTGCCTTATGAGTGTTTCCTTGAAACATCACCCAAAACGGAAGCTGAAACACAACCGCCGAGAATGTGAAAAAGGGAACATGGGGGCACTGTGGTGATCGAGCTTGGGGCAACGGGAATCAACAGAGCACCTCGAGTCTGGAGTTCAAAATGTAATGTCCGGATTTGGGCAAAGGACACGTTTTACCGCTCTGTGTTTTGCAAGGGGCACTAAGGGCTGTTCACGGTTGTGGAAACCATCCCTGTCTGTGATACCAAAGTAGCACGCACAGAAAGTCCCCCCCCCCCCCCCCCGGCGTTGTCAAAAAAAAGCAGCAACCGCTGGGCTGGTTGTTAGCTCCCCCCACCTGTCGCCATTTCGTGCCATGCCCCGCCTGCCCCAGCGCGCCTGGGACAGCCTCAGGCGCACGGGGAAAAGGAGTTTCAACCCTGAGCTACAAAAGGCATAATAACATATATACATATTGCATATAGAATATGCCCTCCCACAAATAAATATGGAGCCTGAAAGGGAGCCCTGGAAGACAAATCTCCTCTACAGGTTGCATGTTTGTTGTTGAGAGGACCCGTATGCACGCACTTATTGAACATTGTCCAGATTCAACGAGAGACAGGGAGAGACTGAGGCGCCAACTGACAGAAGCACAGCCAGCGGCATGATGCCCCTGCGGCCCCGTGGGCTGCTCCGATTCGACTCTCGGAATTTCGATGGTCAGCAAAACAACCCCCCCGCTGCTACCAATTCTCCTCTATTGGCCACGCAAAGCCAGGTGGAAGCACCTGGTAAAATGTGGCCATTCGGGTCTTGGGGGGTGGTCCTCTGAGCAACCCTTCAGCCGAGTGCACTCAGAAGGCCTCCATCTCCGGGATGGAGGCGCGAAGCGCCTCTCGAGGCGCGGAAAAAGACCGCAGTTGCAACCAGTGATCTGGGTCTGTCTCAGATAGGGAACTCTCAACAAAAAAGGTGGTGCCCCTTTGGGTTTTCCTCTAAACCTGCACAAACAAAGGCACCCTCTAAAAAGGCACACCCATCTTGTAAGGGCGATGTTTGTCTTAACCGTTGTAGGAAAGAGTCAATGAGGTTGGGCCCTGGAAGAAAAAAGTAGTGAGCGAGTCAGCGAGTCTTCTTGGTTGGCTATCTTTAGATCCTTCGGGAAACCAAAGGACAACCAACGCCCAGTTTGAGGGCTCGGCCATTCTGATCCTCTCTCTCTCTCTCTTTCCGGACCAAACAAAACAACGCATTAGTCTTAACCATCTTAACTGGCTGGACCCTTGAGTGGACATTTGAGGGTTGTGTCCACCATCTTGGGAAGCATTCCAAGCGTTGAAGGGCTAGGGCCAAAATGCTTGTCGTGTTTATATGAGTCACAATCGAAACCTGCTACCAAAGGCTAGGTTATGTAAAGAATCAAAAAGGCGTCTTGCACTGATTTCTGGCTGGGACTGTCCCTTCCTTGGGCTATCCGGCTTTTGATCGGCCTCATATCGGCCTCATTGCCTCATGCTTCTTTGGGCCGCTGCGATTCAGAGCCATAGCAACGGGAGCCGTGGGAGGGTATGGCCCTTTATGCTCCTTTGTGGCCGTAGTTTCCCCTCGAACCATCCCTAAGGGAACCGTCAAAAACAAGCGCACACACCTGCACAATAAATTTCCCAAGCAAACTCCCAGGCACCTCAAAGCTCCTGAAGCTCGGCTGCCCTGCAAATGCAGAGCGGGTTGCGTGCCTTTGTGCTTGTCCCGAATACACAGCCGAAGGGCTCCAGTATGCTCCAGTTTAACGGCTGGGGGTCAGGAGGTGACCCACACTCGTGCCTTTCTTATTCGTTTGCGTTCGTACAGCGTTCGCAAAGCCTTCCCGAGTGTCGCGCTCGCCGTGCCATTGGGGAGCAATTGGGACCGCCTGTGCGCTTTGACAGGTTGACGTGTCATTTGCTGCTCATGCACGTCGTTTTGAAAGATCTCCCTGCGCGGCTCGTGTGGCATTGTGATTTGTGTCAGGGGTGTGTTTGGGGGTGTTTTACTTGGAAGCGAGTGTCTTTTCATGTTCACTGTCGTACAATTGGCATGTTTCGGCGGGCACACAATTGGCTGAAATCGGGCAAAATCATGCCAGCGCCGGCAATGCAGATTTCGTTGCAGACGCAACACACTTTGGCAACTTGTTGGCAGCTGCCCGCACTTGATAAGCGCGGCACTTTAACGCATGGAATGCTGATCTCGCGGCAGGCACATATCATTGGAGGCGCAGTACTTTGGAAGGTCGTGCGTCGAGGTGTGTGTGTGTGTGTGGCAGGCGTAGCGCTTTGATGGACAGGCGTTGATTTTGTGGTTAGGTGCAGATCGTAGCGTAGAGCTGTTGGGGGTGCTCGTTTTGAGGCTCTTTTGATGGGAAACGTAGAGCAAACCAGCCGTTCGAGCTTTTACAGTGTAGCCCGTGACACCTTGTCGCAGGCACATCCACAGGCTCTTGCGTGCGTCTCCTGCATCCTCTGCAACGATGAATTGATAACAGCTGTTGTTGCGGCTGAGGTGCGCTGTGGTGCAAGGGAAAACCAATCCAACAAATCCCAGAAAGGGACTCAATAGCACCATTGTGATACTTGAGTCACTTGAGCTTTCTTCGTGTTGCCACGGAACGACCGAAAAACAAGATTGCACTCGCTACATGTTTCCTTGGCCTCTCTTGATTCTTGATATTCAGCCAAAAGCTCACGGAAACGCAAGCTGGCAATCCAGACATCACAAGAAAGTAAAGCACCGCTGCACTGGCACGGCTCGCGTGACTCTCACTGACCAACGGGAAGTTGATTCACAAGTTGGCGAATTGAATCCCATCATTGAGAGGGGCGATATTGTCATGCTCAGATCTTTAGCAAGAGATTCAAAGCGTGCAGGGCTGTTGTTTCAAAACTCAAAACAGGTTGTCGTGGAAACGCTGGTGGAAGGATCACCGTGCAAGAGAGCAATCATCATTCCGGTGTTTGTGCAAAGAATGAGCTCATTGTGCAGCCTTGATTGTCATTTCGACAAGTCGTGTGTTTCTAAATCGATCTGTTTTGTTGTTCCCCTGTGTAACCTCTTGGTTCAAGGCTTGAGGAAAGATTCGGGCAACAAAAAAAGGCAAGATCCGCCCAAGAGGCAAACCTGGCAAGCTGACAAGCTTCTCTACCCCCTCCAAAAAATATGATTTTTGTCTGGCCTGCACTTGGCAATCAAGCCTAGAGCAAGTTCACAAAATATCCCACGAAATCTGATCATACAACCCTCCATATGCATCTGAATTGCAGTAGGGGACCCTTCGGTGGACATCATTTCGGTGGAGGTTTATATATGTCCATCGACCACTTTTGAGGTGGGCCGGCTTGAAACTCATAGCATTTTGTGGTTCCAGTCTTTGTCTCAGAGATCCGTGCGAGGGTCCGGGTCCCGCCCATTTTTCGTGGCGATCACCGCGGCAGGTCGGACAGCTTGATACACCGCCAGGAGGCCGCTGCGAAACCGGCGAAGCTGATGCCGCACTCACCTTCTCCCACGGTCGTTATCCTGTGCCCAGGGCTAAACGGGTTCTCAAAATAGGGGAACCCTCCAAAACAGCTGGTTCTCCTCTTGATTTCCCTTTCAACCAATTCCCAGAAGTGTGCCTCAAAAAAGCACAGACACCCGGCCCAAATTATGGCAAGCCTTAGAATGCCTTAGAACACCTTTTTGAAGAGGTGGGTTGCTTACCCATCCCGGGGCTAAGCTACCAACAAGCCAAGCCTGTGGCAGCCCTCTTCACTGCAGGAATCCTCGGAGCACAACTCCACAAAGCCGCCGTCTTCATCGCGCAGCGATTCGCAGGACACGCGGCCGAACAACGCCGCGCTCCCTCCAAGCGCTGGCGGAGACACGGAAATGCACGTCGAGGCCGGGGGAATGTGCCACACCCGCGCCGGTGGCCCGTCGCAATCCGGGGACAGAAACTCCTTCACTTCCACCACCACCTGATGTTCTTCGACAAGCGTCCCATTCACATGACCACTCCAATTCATGAAGGCATCGTAAAACTGGACATATAGAAGCTGAACCACAACCGCCAGCGCCAGCACCATGATCTCCAAGCGCGGAAGCATCATGTTATGTAAACTAACAACTTTGCGCATGTCCTAATTTTGGCAAACAACCAACATGGTGCCAGCATGTGCAAGCTATCATGTCAGTATGGCTGCAGGCTTCTTCGCGGTGCAGAGTTGAAAAGTCATCCGCACAACTGAGATGCGTAAGATTAGGGTCCTTTTGGTCGCTTGTTTGAGGGAAAAGAAAGGCAACGAGGGTCCAAACAGGGCTCGGCATTCCGAATGACAGGCATGAGGCTTGGCCTTGTTGGACTGAATGTGTCTCTCGCCCAATATTCAGGAAACTTGAGCCAAGAGCGGTTGGGGGAGCGCGAGGCAAAGTACACATCAACGGAAGCAGCACAGCAAACCGACTTGCCAGCCAAAAAGGACACTCACTCGAACTTGGCAACATTTAAACGACTCAACAATGCAAAAATATGGGCGTGATTTGTTTGAGGGTACCCCAAACCATTTTGGGGCTCCCTATTTTGACACATACCCATCTTCAGAGGTGGCTTCGGCGAAGCGAGAGCTCGAGCTTGTCGATGGAGGCCCTGGAGGATCCAATCCTAAAGGATGGGGTGCTTCCATGATGTAAGTTTTCGGGGAAAGAAGCTCCATCAGCATGGCAACATGTTGGCTCAACAGCCAGCAATTGCCCGTGTTTTCAAGCCTCTTCTACATCCAACATGCTGACAAGTCCCTGAGGTTTGCTTGTTACGCCACAAAACCGCGAGAGCCGGTCTGATGACTTTCCCGCCAAGAAGGATTCAAGTGGAGCGAGCTTTCCTGTTGGCATTTGCTGTGCGTCTTGTTTTTTTCGGGGAACCATTTTTAATTAATTTTAAAGGGAAACCAAAGGGACGACTAACCATTTTGCAGTTCCCTCATTTGAGACAAACCCATTTGGTGCGATCCCCAAAGGAATTCATTCTCCAAGAACGCGCCGCGGGTGTTTTCGCAGAATCTTGCAAGATTGAGTCCTGTCTGCGTCTTGACTGGCAAAAGCCTCCATGGCAGATCTGAAGGCCTCTTCTGCCGGAAACTTGCCACGAGCTAGTCTTCCAAGTCACTCGAAGTCGGCGTCACTTGTCTTGTCGCCTAAACATCTTCCTGCAATTGGGCACAGCTTGCTCTCGCGCGGCACCACTCGCTCAGGCTCGAAGTGGATCCGAAAGCAATCTGGCGAATGTGACTCATTCTCACCCCCAGCACGACTGCCCCGGCTTCCGGCATGTGTCGCAGTGCCAAATGTCAATTTCAGGTTGTCAGAGCAGCACAGGGACCGCGCTTTCAGAAAAGTCGTGCAATGCACACAATCGTTCCAGGCAGCAAACAATGTCTTAAAAACGCTTCAGGTCTTCCAGCAGTTGCGCAATGCGATGCTCAAGGTCAAGCTCGCGTTCCGTCTTGCCCTGCACACCAAAGGAGTGGTGCAACTCAGAGCTAGTCGTTTCGCAAATTGCTAACAGTTGTGTCTTCAATGACCTGCACTGCATCTCCGCATCTGTTGCTCTATCTCTTGCAGCCTCCATCTGCTCTTGCATGCCGGCCAGCATCTGTGCTAAATCCTCATCGCCCGCACTGGTGGGCGATCCCGCTGCAGTCGGCTGTGCCTGCGCTTTCTCCAGCTGCTTGCGAAGAGAGTCGCACTCCATGTCTGCATCTGTTGCTCGATCTCTTGCAGCCTCCAGCTGCTCTTGCATGTCGGCCAGCCTCTCTGCTAGATCCTCATCGCCCACACTGGTGGGCGATCCTGCTGCAGTCGGCTGCGCCTGCGCTTTTGCCAGCTGCTTGCGAAGAGAGTCGCACTCCATCTCTGCGTCTGTTGCTCGATCTCTTGCCGCCTCCAGCTGCTCTTGCATGTCGGCCAGCCTCTCTGCTGGATCCTCATCTCCCACACTGGTGGGCGATCCTGCTGCAGTCGGCTGTGCCTGCGCTTTTTCCAGCTGCTTGCGAAGAGAGTGGCACTCCATCTCTGCATCTGTTGCTCGATCTCTTGCCGCCTCCAGCTGCTCTTGCATCTCGGCCAGCCTCTCTGCTGGATCTTCATCGCCCACACTCACGGGCGATCCCGCTGCAGCCGGCCGTGCCTGTGCCTTCTCCAGCTGCTTGCGAAGAGAGTCGCACTCCATCTCTGCATCTGTTGCTCGATCTCTTGCAGCCTCCAGCTGCTCTTGCATCTCGGCCATCCTCTCTGCTGGATCTTCATCGCCCACACTCACGGGCGATCCCGCTGCAGCCGGCCGTGCCTGTGCCTTCTCCAGCTGCTTGCGAAGAGAGTTGCACTCCAGCTCTGCATCTGTTGCTCGATCTCTTGCAGCCTCCAGCTGCTCTTGCATCTCGGCCATCCTCTCTGCTGGATCTTCATCGCCCACACTCAAGGGCGATCCCGCTGCAGCCGGCCGTGCCTGTGCCTTCTCCAGCTGCTTGCGAAGAGAGTCGCACTCCATCTCTGCATCTGTTGCTCGATCTCTTTCAGCCTCCAGCTGCTCTTGCATGTCGGCCAGCCTCTCTGCTAGATCCTCATCTCCCACACTGGTGGGCGATCCTGCTGCAGTCGGCTGTGCCTGCGCTTTCTCCAGCTGCTTGCGAAGAGAGTCGCACTCCATCTCTGCATCTGTTGCTCGATCTCTTGCAGCCTCCAACTGCTCTTGCATGTCGGCCAGCCTCTCTGCTAGATCCTCATCGCCCACACTGGTGGGCGATCCTGCTGCAGTCGGCTGCACCTGCGCTTTTGCAAGCTGCTTGCGAAGAGAGTCGCACTCCATCTCTGCATCTGTTGCTCGATCTCTTGCAGCCTCCAACTGCTCTTGCATGTCGGCCAGCCTCTCTGCT